GAAAATCTTGTCCTGTTTCATGTCCTGGCTATCAGTTGGGGGCCCCAATCAATTTTTGTAAGGCTGCCGAAATTGAGAGGATTGTTTTTGATTCTTTAATTTCGGGGCCCAAAAACCAGAAAATTATGGGAAGGGGGCTTCCCACCAACTGGGTCCCCTTCCTGGCATGTGTTCTTACCTGTCACCTGCTGTTTCTACTCTTAGAGGAAGAGGCACTCGGCTGTAGGCACTGATTGGCGCGGAAGCTTTCCGGGTCTGCTTGTACACCTCACCACGCACGCACTCTCCTTGGAAAGAGAGTGCATGTGTGGCGGGGTGTGCAAGCAGGCCCAGAATGTGCACACACGCCTGCCAGTCCTGCAACCTTTTACTCTAGAGTAAGAGGCGCTCATCCGCAGGCACCCCCTGAGAGTGCTTGTGTGGCGGGGTGTGCATGCAGGCCTAGAGCACACCTGTAGCCAAGTTCTGCATCTGCCGGCCTACATGTCCCTGCCACACATGCCCCACCACACTCTCTGAGAGTGCATGTGTGGCAGGGCATACAGGCAGGACCAGAGGACACCTGCAGCCAAGCTCTGAGCCTGCCTGCCTGCACACCCTGCCACACAGGGTAAGGAGACAAGTTCAGGTGCTTTTCTGTCGAGCAGATTTTTGTGTGGGGAGGGGGCTTCCCGTTTTGTGCATTTGAAGAAACATAAGACACGAAAGAAACGGTAGAAATGGTCGGAACGAATTTCACATACATGTCTCATTGGCAATATATCTTACTGATATTTTTTTTGTTTCCCTTCTGACCCATTTTGTATTTCTTAAAAGTCTCGGGGTCAATGGACATCCCTTGTTCTCCTCTACTGGTTCTGTGCATCGTCTCCCTTTTCTGTCCAGAAACCCACTTTGCAAGAAAGAAAGCACCAGGATTGTGGCGCAGCTGGCTGAGTGTCAGCTACATTAAGATCACTCTGACCAAAAGGTCATGAGTTCGAAGCCAGCCCGGATTGGAGTGGGTTTCCAACCAATTGTGTGTAGCCTGTTGTAGACCTTTGCAACCTGAAAGACAGTTGCATCTGTCAAGTAGGAAAATAAGGTACCACCTTAAAGTGTGGGGAGGCTAAATTAACTGATTTATGAGGCCATAAAGAAGACTCCAACAAAGCATTCCAGCCGGGAAGCATGCGGGGAATGCGGAAGTGCTTCATCAGCGTCGCAGATGGATGATGAAAGCGACAGCTCCGTGGGTGGCCAGAAAAAAGTTAAATAGCCTCTGTGTATGTCTGTATATGTTTGTATGTCAACAACTGGCATTGAATGTTTGCCATATATGTGTACACTGTAATCTGCCCTGAGTCCCCTGCGGGGTGAGAAGGGCAGAATATAACAGCTGAAAATAAACAAACAAATAAATAAATAAAGACTCCGCAGCCACAAGAAGTGCTATCCAAGGGAGAAAGTGAGAGGTGGGGGTCCTGCTCCACCGCCATCTCCATTTATTTGGCTTTTTTCGCCCTTTGCAAAACGTCTCCTGCAAACAAGGGACACAAAATACACCCCCTTTCCTTTTGGGGTTCCTCCATGCCTTGTCTGTCCCTTGCAAATAGTCCAAAGTGGGGATATATATATTTTTTGCAAGAATCAGCTCTGAGCGGACAACATATGCATATATCACCATGGAATTGGCTCAGAAAGGAGGCTTTGCATCCATCAGGCCCAATGCAAAATAAGCATTCAACCCCCTTTTTGGGTTCCTTAGAAAGATAGGCTCCAACCCAGCCGGAATTCACAACCGCCCCAATTTGTTTGCCCTGAAAGGCAATAACAACAATAATAACACTATGTTTTTTTTGTTCCTGGGTTATCAATGTCATTATTTTCTAATTGGTTCTATTACAAAACATGGTTCAAGTTGGGTTGTTTTGAGTTTTCTGGGTGGTATGGTCATGTTTCAGAAGCATTCTTTGCTGACTTTTTGTCTGCATCTATGACAGGCAGGCCTGTAGCGAGGGGGTGGTTTTAGGGGTTCAACCCCCCCCCCCGAAATGTTTCAGATTTTTTTAAAAAAACCTGGTTTACTCATGAATTTTAACTGGTTAACCAAATCCCCATGCTAAGTCTATGAGATGCAAAAAATTAAGAGTCCCTCCAGAACTGCAAGCACTATCTCAGCAAATATTGACAATTTATTCACACTGTCATTACTTGCAGCAATAGCCGATGTAGTGAAGCAACCAAGTTGGGTGTGTGTGTGTTGAATGCTCTCGTTAAGGAGGCCAGACTTGGTGGAGGTGGTTGACAGGGGCGGAGCTGCAGGCTACTGAAGGCTGCTCTGCCCCATGCTGTGCTCTTTGCTTCAGCGTGAGCTAGGAGGCAGGTTTCAACTCCCCCCTCCGTGAAATTTTCAACCCCCCCCCCAAAAAAAATTTCAACCCCTCCCAAAAAAATTTTCTGGCTATGGCCCTGATGACAGGCATCCCCAAAGGTTGTGAAGTGTGTTGGAAACTAGGAAAATGGGGTTTATATATCTGTGGAATGATGTCCAGGGTGGGAGAAAGAACTCTTGTCTGTTGGAGGTACATCCAGCAAAGGACAAGAAGGATCCTCTCAACTCTGTCTCCTGTTTCCCATGCAACAGTGGACAAGTCTACATGGGGACCACCAAACGCAACAGCATTGCCCAGGCATGAATCAGGGAACACGAACAGCACTGCAGACTAAGTCAACCAGAGAAGTCAAGGCTGATGAACCAACCTGGACACAGCATATTATTTGAGAATACAGAAATGCTGGAGTACTACAACAACCATCATGTCAGACTACACAGGGAAGCCACTGAAATCTACATCCATGTGGACAATTTCAACAGAAAGGAAGAAACCATGAAAATGAACAAAATCTGGATACCAGTATTAAAAAAACTCTAAAATCAGGACAGTAAATAAAGAACAACACTCAGAAAGAGGGGAATTCCAGACAAGAAACAATCAGGACCAGCTAATCACTCAACAAAGGATTCCCTCAGGCAATAAGAAGCCAGACCTTGAAACTGCAGGTCATTAAATGCTAATCAAGGTGGCCTATTGAAACATTCACACCTCCCTCAAACAGACAAAGAGTTCTTTCTCTCACCCTGGACATTATTCCACAGGTATAAAAGGTAAAGGTAATACCCGTGACATTAAGTCCAGTCATGTCTGACTCTGGGGTGTGGTGCTCATCTCCATTTCTAAGCCGAAGAGCCAGCGTTGTCCGTAGACACCTCCAACGTCATGTGGCCAGCATGACTGCATGGAGCGCCGTTACCTTCCCGCATAAACCCCATTTTCCTAGTTTCCAAAAGACCTCACAATGTCTGAGGATGCCTGCCATAGATGCAAGTAAAACGTCAGGAGAGAATGCTTCTGGGTCATGGCCATACAGTACGGAAAACTCAGAACAACCCATTGATTCTGACCATGAAAGCCTTCAATACAATGGTTCAAGTTTATTAAAGTTTATTAAACTTTAAAAACTGCAAAAGAAACCTGCAAAAAAAGTTTATTAAACTTTAAAAACTGCAAAAATAATGTATTCTGCAACAGCACATTTTGCGATAGTTTTTCAATGAATTATCTCGAGTCACAATGCATTCAGCATGGTTTGTGCCACAAAAACAAAGTTTCTGGAGTAGAAAAACTACTTTTCAAGTAAGGGTCGCACAGTTTAACAGGAAATAACACTTTTAAGCCAGGAACAGAAAATAAAATTTGCATTTTTTTACATAGTGTAGTAATAGTTATAATTATTCCCCCTTTTCTGGCATCAAAATATGTTCCAACAACAACAACGGTAAGAATAAAAGTGGTACAAAAGCTACAGGGATGACTTCCTCCCAATAACAGTCCCGAAACAGAAGGCGTCAAGCATCCAAACCTTTGGAAACATGGGGTGGCCCACAAACTGCAATGCTGGGAGTTGTAGTCCCGCCACAAAATGCTCTTTCCAATGGGAGATCATTTGGTCTCACTGGGGGGAGGGTGCAATAAGTATTGGGGTTCAACACAACTGGGGATGACAGCCAGGGACTTTTCGTCTGGCCGAAAGCGAAATGTAGAGATGTAGAGAACGTCCAAAACAACCTTCATTGTTGCTCCTGCTTTGTGCTCATTTCCATCAACAGATCTATCTGCAGTTGCTTAAATAACCCAATACTTTTTTAAAAAAAATTAATTATTATTATAGGGCATTTTTGGTCCTTAAAAATTATTAAAAATAATACAGGGTTGCGGGGCTGAATTTTAGGAATCAAGAAGTGGGGCGGATGGGGAAAGAGAGCCAAAGGGAAATAAAGGGGGAAAGGTTCAGTTAAGAGAAATGCATCAGACACTTATTTCCATCTTCATAAACAGATAATAAGGGGGAAAAGATCCAGTTGAGAGAAATGCATCAGACCCATAGGCCTCCTATCTACACTGCCAGATGATCTGCTTTGAACTGGATAATATGGACAGCGTAGACTCACAGAATCCAGTTCAAAGCAGGTCATAATGTGGATAAGCTGCTTTGATAAATCTGGATTATATGGCAGTGTAGAAGAGGCCTTAATTTTCCTTCTTCGTAGGGTAAATAAGGGGAAAAGGTCCAGTTGACAGAAATGCATCGGACTCTTCTTTCCTTCTTTGTAGGGTAAATAAAGGGAAAGCTCCAGTTGAGAGTTTCTTTCTTCAAAGGGTACTAAAGGGAAAAGGTCCAGTTAAAAGGGAAATGCATCAGATCCTTATTTTCTTCTTTTTGGGTAATAAAAGGGGAAAGGTCCAGTTACGAGAAATGCAGCAGACCCTTCTTTCCTTCTTGGTAGGGTAATAAAGGGAGAGGTCCAGTTAAAAGGAACATATCAGATCCTTATTTCCTTCCCTATGGGGTAAATAAAGGGAAAATTGCTCCCGAGGGAGGGATAACGGGCACACAGGTCAGAACTGGCCAGTGGAAGGAGAAAGGGGGGGCCCACATTTAAGGAGGCGCGCTCTTATCTATGGCAATGGTTCCAAATCAACCCCTGGTGGCTCCTCCTCCTCTTTATGACCAATCTGGGGGTCTGGCAGAGACTCCCGGCGCTGGGAGGAGGAGACGCTGGTGTACTCCACCGCTGTGCTCCCATCGGCTTGCTCGATGTAGACCCGGGCCTCCAGGCGGAGCGGGTAGGATGCTTGGCATTCCCACGAGGCTGACGATGCCGGAGGATCTGCTTGGCACTCCCATGATGCCGCTGCTGCCGGAGGATCAGCCCCTTGGACCGCAATGTGGGGCACAGGCGTGCGGCCAGGCACCTCCGCCACCCAGGGAGCTGTGTGGAGGCCCGCCCGTCTCGTTGGGGTCCGCTTCTCCGTGGGGGGCTCTCCTCCAGCGGACTCAGGCTCGTCGAAGCTGACCTCCTGGACAGCCTCCTGCTTCTTGAAGGAGTCCCGGCGCTCTGAGAGGTTCAGTCGCCGCATGACCACCACCTCCTGGTGGTCAGACCCAAAGCCTCCGCCAGACCAGTCCCGGAGGCGGGATCCCCCCTCAGGGCTTTCGATGGGGTCTTCATCCCCTGGCACGTGGGTTGTCTTCCGGCTGGCAGGGATCTTCTCAGCCGATTGGACCCTCTTCAGGAGTGGGGAGCGGGAGCCTTCGGCTGAGCGGGGTCGGGCGGCTTGGCGGGCAACAACAGGTGGGGAGAGGGTCTTGCCCTGGAAGGTTGGGGGGACTTTGGGGAAGGGGAGTGGGGAAGGGGAGCGTTGTGGGGAGGTAGGATGAGGAGCTGTGGAGGAGGAGGAGGAAGAGGAGGAGGGGGTGCAGGCCAGTGGGGAGGGGGGGATGCTGCTGGTGGACTTGCGGCGGCCCACCTTGTATCGCTGGCCGCTCAGCTTGGGCCCCAGGCCATGGAGTGAGCTGGGCCGAATGTGGCCCGCAGGGGAGGTCGGGGTGCTGGACACCGGGGAGGTGCTCTGCGGTGAGGAGGATGCATCTGTAGAAGAAAAGGAGGAGGAGATGAGAAAAATGGCTGTATTGCATGCTCTCCACAGCATGTTTAATTGTGTTGACACCAAAGCCAGTTACACACTTTTCGCCCCAGGAAATCTTCTGATAAGGTTGCTGTGAGTTGGAAAAGACTTGAAGACACTCAACAACAACAACAACAGATAGACAGATAGATTTTTAACTAATGTAACTAATTTATGAAGCCATAAAAATCTCCAGCAAGCATGCGGGGAATGAGGAAGTACTTCATCAGTGTCGTGGATGGACGGTGAAGTGAAAGTTCCCCTGGTGGCCAGAAAAAGTTGGAATTTTAAATATTTATTTATTTATTTATTATTCGAACTTATATGCCGCCACTCCCCTGGGGCTTGGAGCAGCTCTGACTGTCTGTCTATATATTTGTGTGTCTATGGCATTGAATGTTTGCCATGTATATGTACATTGTAATCCGCCCTGAGTCCCCTGCGGGGTGAGAAGGGTGGAATATAAATAAATCTATATAAATAAAAATGTAATGTCTGTTTGTGGGATTAACATAACTCAAAAACCACTGGACGAATTGACACCAAATTTGGACACAAGACACCTATCGGGCCAATGAGTGACCATCACTCATAAAAAAACTGAAAAACACTTCAGAAGGGACTTAAAAAGCAAAACAAAAAACAAAAAAAAATACATTACAACGCATGTGCAAAATTACATTCATGTGTGTGTGTATATATATATGCAAACAGCCTGAAGAAGAGAAGGCTGAGAGGGGATATGATAGCCATGTATAAATATGTGAGAGGAAGTCACAGGGAGGAGGGAGCAAGCTTGTTTTCTGCTTCCCTGGAGACTAGGACGTGGAACAATGGCTTCAAACGACAAGAAAGGAGATTCCATCTGAACATGAGGAAGAACTTCCTGACTGTGAGAGCCATTCAGCAGTGGAACTCTCTGCCCTGGAGTGTGGTGGAGGCTCCTTCTTTGGAAGCTTTTAAACAGAGGCTGGATGGCCATCTGTCAGGGGTGATTTGAATGCAATATTCCTGCTTCTTGGCAGAATGGGGTTGGACTGGATGGCCCATGAGGTCTCTTCCAACTCTTTGATTCTATGATTCTATGAAACACACATATACACAAATATATACACACACAAAACACATGTACACAGACTGGGCCACAGTGAGAGAGTATTGATAGAAAGATAGATATTAGGCATGTGCAATCGATATAAACTTGTTTCAAAAGTAATTACAAAACTGGGGGGTGCCGGTGTTTTGTTTCTAAAGTGTTTCCAAAGTGTTGTTAGTGAAAATTGTGTGACTATGATGAGAGTAACAAAATTTAATTCCTTTTTTCGTTATAGTCATTGTGAAAGTGGGAAAACTTCAGGGGCTCCCTTCTTCCTCATTTTTACAGTTATTGGGGTGAAACTTGCTATAATGGTAATACACTGTTGACCACTGTTAGCCCATCAAGTTTTGGAATGTTTCACTTATCCACAGATTTTGGGGGATGTATTTTTTAAAAATGTTTTTTATGAACAACAAAAGCGATCGCCTTGAATTTTCTATACAATGACACAAGATAGCAGGGAATCATTCCCCCCAACTTTCATAAATATTCATACATCTACTGATTTTAGGGATGTAGATGATATAGGGAGAGAGAAATGATATAGAGAGATCTGGAGAAAGAGATGAATGATAGATGATAGAAATAGATGAGGTAGATATATTGATAGATGAGAGAGAGATGACAGACAGGCATAGATGATAGAAAGAGAAAGACACACAGACAGATAGATAGATAGATAGATGGATGGATGGATGGATGGATGGATGGATGGATGGATGGATGGATAGATAGATAGATAGATAGATAGATAGATGATATATAAATGAGATAGATAGATATGGAGAAAAAGATTACTGATAGATGATAACAGTAGATAATAGATAAGATAGATATATAATAATATATCTACCTTATCTATCATCTACTGTTGGAGAAAAAGATAATTGATAGATGATAACAGTAGATATTATATATCTACCTTATAGATCTGTTATAGAACTCCAATATGCTAATGATAACATAGTCTGTGCACATTTAGAAGAAACAAGCCACTCTAAACACCTCTGCAGAAGCAAACGTGAAGCTCAGCCTCTCATTGAACATCTAGAAAACCAAAGTGCTTTTCCAGCAGTCACCAGCCAATCCCTCTGCAATGCCAGAAATACAGCTTAAAGATGTAACATTGGAACATGTTGACCATTTTTGCTTCCTTGGTAGCCACCTCTCCACAAAAGTCAACACTGACACTGAAATACAACACCACCTGAGCTCTGCGAGCGCAGCATTCTTCCGAATGAAGCAGAAAGTGTTTGAGAACTGGGACATCTGTAGGGAGACTAAGGTGTTTGTTTATAAAGCCATTCCCCTCCGGACCCTGCTATATGCCTGCGAAACGTGGACTGTCTACAGACGTCACACGCAACTCCTGGAATGATTCCATCAGCGTTACTTCTGAAAATTCCTGCAAATCTCTTGGGTAAAAGACAGGCGGACAAATGTCAGCGTGTTGGAAGAAGCAAAGACCATCAGCACTGAAGCGATGATCCTATGCCATAATTTCCATTGAACTGAATGCCATGTTGTCCGAATGCCCAATCATCATCTCCCAAAGCAGTTACTCTACTCCGAAGTCTAAACAGGAAATGTAATGTTGGTGGACAGGAAAAGAGATTTAAAGATGGGCTTAAAGCCAACCTTAAAAACTGTGGCACAGACACTGTTTATAAAGCCCTGGCCCTTGAGCGTTCTAACTGGAGGTGAGCTATGACCAGCAGTGCTGCAAAATTCAAAGGCATTTGAATAGTAGTGCAATGACGGGTAACTCGACCATAGGAATGGAACAACGGAAATGATATTGGATTGTGAACTTGACGATGAGACGACTCGGAATGGCTTGTAGTTATATTGATGTTTTTGATGAGATGTTTTGATAATGATGTACTGTGGATTATTTTTTGTATGTTGTATTTTTGCACCTGTTTTTCCATGTTGTACACCGCAATGAGTCGCCATTAGGCTGAGAATTGCGGTATATAAGCGAAGTAATAAATAAATAATATAAAATTAGAAGAGACACAAATGGAGGGCGAAAGGGAGAAATGTGCCAAGAGGAAGGAGCGTCAAGCCAACCCTGACTGGGACCACCTTCCACCTGGAAACAGATGTCCTCACTGCGGATCAAGAATAGGGCTCTACCTACGGACCCACCACCAAGACACTACACTTGGAGGACCACCATCCTTGGGCTACGAGGAATCTCCTAACAATATAGATAGATGATAGATGAGAGAAAGAGAGAGATGACAAACAGACGTAGATGATAGAAAGAGAAAAAAAAATGATGGGGTCCGTCTTACCTGGGGGGGCATCTGGGGCAGGGCTTCGGCAGGGGGGTGTGGGCCCGGGCGAGAGGCTGTGGGTGGGGGACCCCGGGAGGCTCTCGCCGGAGGAGAGGGAGTGGTGGAGCCCCGAGGAATAGCTGCGGCTGGTGTGGAGAACCGAGGCGGAGGCAGCAGAGGAGGAGGGCTGCCGGGAGATCTTCCGGAAGAGAGACTTCCTCCTACCGGGAGGCAGAGAAGAGGAAGCACATCACCCTTTGGGTCCCAAGGAGGTCTGCCATGTTTATTTCTTAATATTAGTTCCACATCGTAATTCTATTTTGGTCTCCCTACCTGTCCTGGCTGTCTCGTTTCCGGCCCTTCTTGCTCCGCCTGGCCATCCGGGTCTTGGAGCTGTTCTTCCGGGCCGGACCCACTTTGATGCTGGTGTTTTCCAGGGCGGTGGTCCTCAGCGCCACTTTGTTCCCGCTCTGCAAGGCAAACGGCAAACGTGAAATTGCAAAGTGAATGGCTCTTTAAGTGGATATGCTGTTGTCAAACCCCATGCAGGGAAAAAAGAGGGGTCCCTCTAGATAGCCAGTACGTCTGCTCCCATCATACACATAACTTTGTACAAATACAGCTCTGTCCATTCTCTTGCTTTGAGTTATTCCAATTTTAACCATGACATATAATTCTTGTTTTTAGAATATTTTTTCTAATTGCTCATTCATAACTTTTCTTGGTCATTTGGTGATTGAAAATTCACCATTACTTTAGAATACTGTGTTTCCCTGAAAATGACACTTTCTTATATTTATTTTTCCTCAGGAAGACACACTATGGCATATTTTCAAGGAATGTCTTATTTTTATTAAGTACTAGCCATCCCCTGCCATGCGTTGCTGTGGCCCAGTCTAGTGATCTGGAAAATAAAGTGATGAGAAAGTATTGGTTTCTAATATATGTAATTTCTTTATCCTTGTGGGTAAACAGTATTTCTTGGTCTTTCTTTGTCAGTGTTGATGTGGAGAGTGGTTTGCCTACTCTGGAATATGCAACATATCATAGTCCTTCTTTAGGGCTCCCTTTCACATCTATGACACTATATCTCTCTGTGTGTAAATCATATATATCGATCTATATCTATGCCTGGATGGCTCTTTGTCAGGAGGGCTTTGATTACGTTTTCTTGCCATGGTGAAGGGAGTTGGACTGGATGGCCTTAAGTATTTTCTGTTGGTCATGGGGGTTCTGTGAGGGAGGTTTTCCTCGATTCTGTCGTTGGTGGGTTTCAGAATGCTCTTTGATTGTAGGTGAACTGTGAATCCCAGTGACTACAACTCCCAAATGTCAAGGTCTGCTTCCCCCAAACTCCATCTGTGTTCATATTTGGGCGTAGTGAGTGCTTGTGCCAAGTTTGGTCCAGATCCATCATTGTTTGAGTCCACAGTGCTCTCTGGATGTAAGTGAACTACAACTCCCAAACTCAAGGTCAACGCCCACCAAACCCTTCCAGTATCTTCTGTTCGTTGTGGGAGTTCTGTGCGCCAAGTTTGGTTCAATTCCATCGTTGATTGAGTTCAGAATGCTCTTTGATTGTAGGTGAACTATAAATCCCAGCAACTACAACTCCCAAATGACAAAATCATAATTTTTTGAGTGATGGTCACTCCTTGTGTTGTGAGACGTTTTGTCGCCAAATTTGGTGTGATTTCATTCATTGGTTCTTTTGTTTTTAAGGTACTCATTATGCACAGAGCATTTATATATAGATAGATCGATTGATGGTATGTCATTAATTTCAACAAATACTTTTTGAAAGGGGAAAATAACAGAGGAAAAAATAAAGTCAGATTCCGTGAGTTTGCGCATGCATACATGCGCGATTGCATCAATTTGGGACTATAAAAATCCACGATTCAGAAACAGAAACATGAACTCTGAGCTAGTTCCCTTTGTTTATGCCCTTTGGGAGAATGGCCTTTGGGGCCACACTCCATTGCCCACCTTCAGCAACAGCTCCACCACGTCCATGTGCACTAAGCCCAGCACCGATTCCCCGTTCACGTGAGTGATGAGGTCTCCAGCTCGCAGGCCGGCCTCCTGGGCTGGACTGCCCTCTTCCACGCTCTGCGGGGACAAAGAGAGAAAGAATGGTTGACCATGGCATTCTCATAAAGAAGCTATTAAAATCTGACCAAATCATACTCCTGTTAGCTAGACTGGGAATTGGGTACTAATGAAGGGTAGTAAGGTAAAGGTAGTCCCCTGACATTAAGTCCAGTCATGTCTGACTCTGGGGTGTGGTGCTCATCTCCATTTCTAAGCCGAAGAGCCAGCATTGTCCGTAGACACCTCCAAGGTCATGTGGCCGGCATGACTGCATGGAACGCCTAATGAAGGGTATGTATAGTAAATTCAAATTTCAAGCCATGAAGGATCCCTTTGAGGTACAAACATATACACACATTCATTTTATATATACCAAAAATATATGTATATATGTGTGTGTATGTACACACATACATACACACAGATATAGGCACATGTACATTTATATATGCACACATGTATACACACACACACATATATATACACATAATAATAATAATAATCCCAAATGTAGACTCTGCAACGAAGCAGATGAAACAATAGATCTCATCCTCAGCTGCTGCAAGAAGATCGCACAGACAGACTACAAGCAGAGGCACAACACCGTTGCTCAGATGGTTCATTGGAACTTGTGCCACAAATACCAACAAAGAACTGGTGGGATCACAAGCCGGAAAAAGTTACAGAGAATGAACACGCCAAACTCCTCTGGGACTTCCGGATTCAGACAGACAGAGTTTTGGAGCATAATGCTCCTGATCTCACGAACGTGTTAAAAAGCAAAGTATGGATCGTCGATGTCGCAATCCCAGGCGACAGCAGGATTGCAGAGAAACAACTGGAAAAGCTGACATGATATGAGGATTTAAAAATTGAACTGCAAAGACTCTGGCACAAACCAGTCAAGGTGGTCCCAGTGGTGATTGGCACACTGGGTGCAGTGCCTAAAGACCTTGGCCTGCACTTAAACACAATTGGTGCTGACAAAATTACCATCTAAGGCCACCTTACTGGGATCTGCACGCATTATTCGCTGATACATCACACAGTCCTAGACACTTGGGAAATGTCCGACATGTGATCCAATTCAACAGCCAGCAGAGTGTCTGCTGTGGACTCATCTTGTTGTGTTTATAATAATAATAAAAATAATAAACAACTTTATTTATACCCCCGCCACCATCTCCCCAAAGGGGACTCAGGGCGGCTTACATGAGGCCGAGCCCAGAAATACATTACAGCAAAACACAATAAAATAAAACCAAAACAAAATAGATAAAACATAAGAATACAATAAAACAAGGCAAAATAAAACAGAACAAGATAATGCAATGATAATGTAATTGTGTATTGTTATGTTGCTGTTTTTGAGACCTCGGCCCATGTAAGCCGCATCAGGTCCTTCGGAAGATGCTAGTGGGGTACAAATAAAGATGATAATAATAATAATAATAATAATAATAATAATAATAATAATAATAATAATAATAATAAAATAATAAATCCATCACACTGAGCGGGCCACATGTACAACATAAAATGATAAAACTCCAGATGAGAAAAAGGAATGTTTGTGAGGGAATAAACTCATAGGAGACAGAGTAATGAAGACAAGCTTTCACACAGGTGGAGGGAAGTACAGTGAGAGGACAACATACACACATATACATGCATATATACATACATACACACATATTCACAGACAAAGCATATATATATATACACATACATACACACATACATAAACACATACATATATATACACACATATATATACACGGACGCACACACACACACATATAACACACATATATACACACAGACATATACATGCCAAAGATAGATAGATAGATAGATAGATAGATAGATAGATAGATAGATAGGACACATACACACTTCATATGATGCTATGGTACTGCGAATTTCAAATGAAACAAATACGGGCAGATCTGGCCAGAGTGGTCCATGCCTTGGTCACCTCCAGATTGGACTACTGTAATGCGCTCTACGTGGGGCTGCCCTTGAAAACGGCCCGGAAATTCCAACTGGTCCAACGGGCGGCGGCCAGGTTGTTAACTGGTGCTCCTTACAAGGAGCAATCAACCCTCCTGTTTAAGGAGCTCCATTGGCTGCCGTTCATTTTCCGATCCCAATTCAAGGTGCAAGTGCTTACCTACAAAGCCCTAAACAGTTTGGGTCCCGCCTACCTGCGTGACCGCATCTCTGTATATGAACCCACACGATCTCTCCGATCATCTGGAGAGGCCCTGCTCACGATCCCATCTGTGTCGCAAGCGCGATTTGTGGGGACGAGGGACAGGGCCTTCTCCGTGGTGGCCCCCCGACTCTGGAACTCTCTCCCCAAGGACACCAGACAAGCCCCAACGTTGACAGTCTTTAGGAAGAGCTTGAAGACGTGGTTGTTCCAGTGTGCCTTCCCAGAATAGGAAACTCCAAGCATCATGTCCCAAATGCACTTTACTAGAGATTTAAGATTGTCTGCACACCGCACCTATCCCCAAAAACCTATCAATTTCACCTGTCATGTCCAGCATTTTTAAAATTTTTTAATCATTTCATTTGGCCCAACCTTAGTTTTAAATGCGTCGTGGTGTTATTGTCTAATGTTTACTGCTAGTCTTTTAATGTTTATTGTTTTGTTTTATGAGTTTATGAGTTTATTTATTGTTGTATTTGTTATGCTGTTGTTTTATTGATGTGTTGGGCCTCGGCCTCTTGTAAGCCGCACCAAGTCCTTCGGGAGATGTTAGCGGGGTATAAATAAAGGTTTATTATTATTATTATTATTATTATTATTATTATTATTATTATTAAATATTTAATCCCCTTTGAGATTTTGGAGCCACCCTTTCTAACAGCACGTATATGGCTGAAAATATAATAATAAACATATAGATTTTTTTAAAGCCATGGGGAATTGGTGCTCCCCTTGACTGTGCCAAAATGGTAGATTGAGGGAAGGTACAATGATGATGTTGTTGATGTTGTTGTTGTTATTGCTGCTCACCCAAACCATGTGGTGGACGGCGTAGATGTCGCTGTCGCCCATGTAGACCCGGATGGCGCGAAGGGTGAAGCCATACTTCTTGCCTTGGCTGTGGATGACGATGGGGGGCCGCAAGCCAGCACACCCCAACAAAGGGTCCCGGCTCGGGGAGGAATCCCGGGAGGAAGGGTTGGAGGAGAGCGAACGGGGGGAGATGGGGCTCACCAGGGCGCCCCCGCCGAAATCGTCTGCAAAGGAAGAACGAATCATGGATAGTGAATAGAACAACTTTATCGTCTTTGTACATCGTACAATGAAATTCAAAGCCATCTCCAATGCAAATCTTTTAAAATAAAATCTCAGCCTGCATATGTTTGTGCTCGCAAAACTCGAAAAGTAGTCCGTTGATTAACTTGCCATTTCGACACAGCGTTGCATGACAATTCGCATGTGTTTTTAGAATAAAATGAAATTTGAACACAACAACACGTGTATCTTGAGTAAAACAAGCAGCCCGGGAATAGACAAAGTGGAATTTCTGATGCCCAAAACAACCACTCACAGTTGAGCTTATATTTTACCTCAGCAGTATAAGAAATGAATACTGAGCACTAGCAACCAATCACTGCACAGCTTTCCTTTTACCTCAGCAGTAAAAGAAGTAACAACTAATCACTGGGCAGCTTTCCTTTTAACACAGCAGTATAGAAAAACCAAGCAATCGCAGAGCAGCTGTCATTCCACCACAGCAGTATAAGAAATGAAAGCTGAGCTGTGATTGGTTGCTAATGGCATACCACTCATACTGACCTACATGTCGTTTGAGAACTTCAGTTTCCAATACGCCTTGTGTTCACTGTGACTATCAATAAAGCACAGGGCAAATCTTTGCAAGTCTGTGGTTTGAATTTGGAAAACGATTACTTTTTTTGCAAAAAGTCTTCATTTATTGAATCTTTTAAGTCGGTACGGATTTCATATGATGTTTTATGTAATTTGTTTATATGGACTTTGTTGTTAATGTGCTATTTTGCTTACGTACTTTGTTGTATTTTATATACTTGCACTATTGAGTGCTTTGTGGGCTGCTCCGAGTCCCTTCAGAAGATGGTGGAAGGATATAAATAAAGATTATTATTATTATTATTATTATTATTATTATTATTATTATTATTACACTTTGTCCCGAATAAACTGTCTTTATTCCATTTCTAAAGTTTTATCTGCAGTCTATTGTCAATAGTACATAGTCCATCTATTTTAAAAAAAACCCAAGAGAGGTTATCAAAGGCTTTATCTGCATCTAAGAATATTGGCACTCCTTCCTGTTCTTTCTGTACTTGTTGTAGATATTCAACTGCATTGAAAACTATCCTCATGTTATCTATCTTTTTTTGAAAGAATGCAAAAGGAACCCATCTACTCCTTTCCATGGGATTATATTGATCAGAAGCCAGATCAGGCGGACACCCTTTTGCTGGGGAATAAAGGAAGACCTGTATTGCTAAATAAGGTCTGTGTCTAGAGAAGAAGAAAGCCACAGTGGAAGGGTGTCTCTCAGGACTGACCTGAACTGATGATGAGCGAAAGGGCCGAGACGGATGCCGACTTGGGCACCCTCCCGCCCGAGGACAGGCGCTGCTGATGCTGATGCTTCGCGGGGCTCTCCTTGGGGGTCCCCATTCGCCTCCCACTTTCAGCCTCCGAGGCCCTCGGGGTAGAGTGTTTGGCGCCAGTGCTGTTGCTCCGGAGGCGGACCCGGTTTAAGCTGGCCAAGTCGGCTGCATGGACAGACACCCATTTGAAGATGAGAAGCAACCGCAGAGCCTTCCCCTCCTGTTACCCTCCCATTCAGCCTTCTTATGTACAAGCTGCCCCAAGTTACGAACGGCTGACTTACAAACGACTCCTAATTAAACCAACGGAGCTGAGACAACAGGAAGTGTGAGGAATCTTCCCCGATGGAGCCTTCCGACCTGGCAGAAGGGGGCAGGACTGGGTGGCTTTTGGAGGTCCCTTCCCAATCTAGGATACGATATCTATCTCATCTATCTATCTATCTATCTATCTATCTATCTATCTATCTATCTATCTATCTATCTATCTATCTATGTAGTCCTCGAGTTATAAACATCCAACTTACAAGCAATTCCTAGTTAAGGGCTGAGACAACAGGAAGTGAGAGGAACCTTCCCCTCAGATAGCAAAACAAACCTCACAGGGGTGATATCCCTTCCTTATATGAGCCAAAACTTATATATACAGTAGAGTCTCGCTTATCCGACCTTCCGTCTTATCCAACGCTCTTATCTGATGCCCCCCTTTTCCTCCAGCACTTCCCCTTCAATTAAAGGAGTGCTCCCCAACTCTCTCTCCATTCCCAATAAGTGAAAAAGGCAAGACGAGAAGGAGGAGGAGGAGGAGTAGTGAGGGAGGGAGGGAGTGAGGGAGGGAGGGAGGGAGGGAGGGAGGGAGAGGGGAAGGGGGGAAAAGAGGCAGGACATGAAGTGGAAGTGCCCTCCCTCCTTCCCTTTGTGGTTTCCACACTCCTCTTCTGCATCTGGGCACTTCCTGCTGGGGTGCTCTTGCCCCGAGACATTGCCTTGCCTTAGTGCTTTGAGTCCCTGTTGTTAGTATTCTAGGTTTCTAGTGCCGCGTCAGATGGGTGACAGTAGGAGACTCCGTATTATCTGATATTTTCGTTTATCTGACATTCTGCCGGCCTGTTTATGTCAGATAAGCGAGACTCTACTGTATATGGAGTTACGCTTAAGAAATGCCCCTGTCCCGACTTATATGCAAATTCAACTTAAGAACAAGCCTACAGAACCGATCTTGTTCGAAACTTAGGGTCTGCCTATATAAGGGCAAAGTTTGTCCTTTGACATTTTGCAATCCAAGGGAGTCATTTCTCCCAAGGTTCGGTTGGGGAAAGTTGTGGCTATCCTGAGGCTCCAGGAACCCCTTCAGCACACACTGTCAGGATGCCTATACCAGCCGTGTGACAAAGGCCAAATTGGTCAACCTGACACAGAATGCAAGGAGGAGGAGGAGGAGGGAGAGACTGAGTTGATAAGCTGGTCTTTGTTATGAGAATTAAGGAAGGCTGGAGGGGGACGTACGTGTGGGCAGGAGACTATATAACCCACCATTTTGTTTTTCTTGTAGTCTGGTAAAAGGAGTTTCAGAACCTGACACGTGTGGACGTACCTGCCAGTGCCGAAGGCTTGCTGGGGCCCTTCAAGGAGGGCGGGAGGGCCTCGGGGTCCCCCAGCACGAAGACGGGGCGCTCCCGCTTGGCCGGGGCCCGGGAAGGGCTCTCGTCCTCGGAGGAGAAGGCAAACCTGGGCATGGCCTCCAGGCTGCAGGTGGCGCTGAGGGGCCCAGGGCCCCGGTGGGCACACTCCTGGCGGAAGGCATGGACGGTCGAGCCACAGGAGGTCCAGGCGCGGAGCCTGCATTGGAGAAAGTGAGGAGGGTGTTTCAAAAGCCAAAAGCCAAGGCACACTCATTTATCATCTATTTATCTCTCTGCCCCAACCTTATTTTCCATCTTCATCGCTATGATACTTCATCTTGTTGATGGGAAGCTTCCCACCAGAGTGGAAATCATCTGTCGGACAGATGGCAAACTATTTAACCTCAACAGACTAAAAGCCAAAGCCAAGGTCACAACAACACCTGTTATAGAACTCCAGTATGCTGATGATAATGTATTCTATGCACATTCAGAAGAAGACCTACAAGCCGCTCTAAACGCCTTTGCAAACATACAAAAAGCTTGCTCTCACTGAACATCGAGAAAACTAAAGTGCTCTTTAGTCACCAGCCAATCCCTCTGCAATGCCAGAAATACAGCTTAATGGTATAACATTAGAAAATGTTAACCGTTTCCACTACCTTGGAAGCCACCTTGCAACAAAAATCAACATTGACACTGAAATACAACACTGCCTGAGCTCTGCGAGTGCAGCCTTTTTCTGAATGAAGCAGAGAGTGTTTGAGGACTGGTACATTCATAGGGAGACCAAGGTGCTTGTTTATAAAGCTATTGTCCTCCCAACCCTGCTATATGCCTGTGAAACATGGACTGTCTACAGATGTCAAATGCAACTCCTAGAACGATTCCATCAGCGTTGCCTCCGAAAAATCCTGCAAATCTCTTGGGAAGAAGACAAGTGGACAAATGTCAGCGTGCTGGAAGAAGCAAAGATCATCAGCACTGAAGCAATGCTCCTACACCATCAACTCCGCTGGACTGGCCACGTTGTCTGAATGCTCAATCACCATCTCCCAAAGCACTTACTATACTCCTAGCTCAAGAACGGGAAACGTAATGTTGATTGACAGGAAAAAAAGATTTAAAGGTGGGCTTAAAGCCAACCTTAACAACTGTGGCTTAGACACCGAGAACTGGGAGGCCCTGGCCCTTGAGCACTCTAACTGGAGGGCAGCTGTGACCAGCAGTGCTGCAGAATTTGAAGAAGCAAAAATGGAGGGCGAAAGGGAAGAATGTGCCAAGAGGAAGGCACATGAAGCCAACCCTGACTGGGACAGCCTTTCACCTGGAAACGGATGTCCTCACTGTAAAAGAACATGCAGATCAAGAATAAGGCTCCACAGCTACCTATGTATCCACTGCCAAAACACTACACTTGGAGGGCCATCATCCTCAGGCTATGAGGGATCACCTAGGGAAGGTAAGGTAAGGTATGTGTAATAGGACAGAGCGGAATAGTTCTGGCCTGGACTGACCTGGTCTCGGTGGCCGAGCGGCGGCTCTTCTCCTCGTCTCCGGAGCCGCGATCCCATCGCTCGGCCTGGTCTTCCTTGTCGTCCGCTCGACCCTGATCCCCCGATGAGGAAGAGGAGGAGATGTTGAGTGCCGGAGGGTTGGCCAGGTATTCGGAGCTGCTGTACACCTGGGCAGAGAGAGAGGAGAATCCAATGAATCCTTGCTACGAGCTGGGGCGAGTTGGACTGGATGACTCCTGGCGGGCCTACTTTGGGGCCTCAACTGAGCACGGGTTCCCCCCTAAGGGCAGTGGGAGCACCACTCCTGCAAACCTTGCTGAAGCGGTGAGAACAAGAAGAGAACTGCCGGATCTCCACGCAAGACTCCTCGTCGTTGGTCTCCTCGTCCTCGGAGCCCAGGTGGCGGTAGCGTTCCGAGCGGGCTGTACGTAAGGGGGAACAAGGACTTTGCTTACAAGGTAGCCCTCGAAAGAAAAGAATCCAGAAACTGTGACACTGAAATTCTACTCTCTCCTGCAGTCACAAACAGCTGTACGCAAACATCCATCCTTTTTTCCTGCGTTCCTGTGCTACTCTTTCCCTCCCTGGGTTAATCACACTGGACTAAAGTTTCGGCCCAAAGCCTTGGACGAATCAAATACTTTATTTTACGTTCCACTGTATTTACAAGTTACTCACTCAGATAGCCGCAGCGGAAGATCGATGGTGAAAGAGTTTGAGTGATCGCATGGCCTCAGCTTATAACAGAATCATTATCTACAGTTAACACTTCTGGGAATGATGCTCTCTTGACTGGAAGGTGCCTTAGTGTGGCCTGTCTGGGCACTTACTCAAGCACCATCTTAACCAGGGGTTCTCAAACTAAGGCTCACGGGCCGGATGCGGCCCTCCAAGGCCATTTACTCGGCCCCTGGTCTAAACTTTAGACTTAGGGTCACCCTAAGTCTGAAACAACTTCAAGTTACACAACAACAACAGTCTGAATTAACTTGACTATCTGATCAGCCAGAAGTAGGCCGACCATTCCCATTGAAATACTGGTAAGTTTGTGTTGGTTAAAATTGTTCATCATTTTAAATACTGTTTTTTGCAGTACACATAATATATCTGCAGTGTGCATAGGAATTTGTCCACATGTTTCTCAAAACATAATCCGGCCCCCCAACAGTCTGAGGGACAGTGAACCGGCCCTCTGCTTTAAAAGTTTGAGGACCCCTGATCATAACCCTTTGATGACCTCTTTCTTCTAGTAACACATGCCTTCAGGATGATTTTTAAAATGCATATAGTAAAGGTAAAGGTTGTTCCCTGACATTAAGTCCAGTCATGTCTGACTCTGGGGTGTGGTGCTCATCTCCATTTCTAAGCCGAAGAGCCGGCGTTGTCCGTAGACACCTCCAAAGTCATGTGGCCAGCATGACTACATGGAGCGCCGTTACCATCCCACCTGAGCGGTACCTATTGATCTACTCACATTTTGCATGTTTTCGAACTGCTAGGTTGGCAGAAGCTAGGGCTGACAGCGGAAGCTCACGCCGGTCCCCGGAATCGAACCTGCGACCTTTCGATCAACAAGCTCAGCAGCTCAATGCTTTAACCCACTGCGCCACCGGAGGCTCCAAAATGCATATAATAATAATAATAATAATAATAATCTTTATTTGTACCCCGCTACCACCTCCCCAAGGGACTCGGTGCGGCTTACATGAGGCCAAGCCCAAAGTACATCAAACAAAACATCAATAAACACAACATCAATAAACAATCAATAAAATGCAAATCGTATAAATCACATAAACAAAAAAACAATCAAAAGTGACATAAACAATTTTAAAAATGGCCGGGCCAAATGTAATAGATTAAAATTGGAAATAAGATGACGTGAACAAGGTAAAATATAACTAGGATAGGATATTTCGGAGAGAAATGAGGGAGCACAGTCCATCCTAAGTCAGTATTAAAGTGCATTGTGAGGACATATTGCTGAGAGTTCTCCTCAGCAATATAACTCCACTATTCCATTAACATCCTCAACAACAATGGCTTCAAAGTACAGGAAAGGAGATTCCACCTGAACATGAGGAAGAACTTCCTAACAGTGAGAGCTGTTTAGCAGTGGAACTCTCTGCCCCGGAGTGTGGTGGAGGCTCCTTCTTTGGAGGGTTTTAAACAGAGGCTGGGTTGGCCATCTGTTGGGGATGCTTTGAATGTGCTTTTTTTGCTTCTTGGGAGAATGAGATTGGACCGGATGGCCCACGAGTCTCCTCCAACTCTAGGACTCTATGATTCTAAGACTCCTGCAAGACGGGCCAGGCTGAGAGGGAACACTAATTGGTTTCACAACTTGTGCGGGACTTGAACCCGGCTCTCCCAAGTTTGCAGTGTCCCTTCTTCCCCCTTCCCAGCATCCCCTTTTGCAGAGAAACCTTCCTTACTGTCAAAATAGCTGGTGTCGTCTTCAGCCTCCAGTTGCGGGATGAACTCGGCCTTTTGCCTCAGGAGGCCGGTCCAGTCCAGGTTGCGGAAGAAGGGGTGCTGCTTGACCTCGTGGGCCCCTCCTGGTGAAATGGGGAGACGAGAAGGGCATTTAAAGGATTTAGACAGGATTGTTATGGTGTATTTTCTACTGCATTTAATAATCTGGTTTTCATGCATTCATTTTATTAATTTGTCATGTCAGAAGCGAGTTGAGGGTACAGTTAAAATATGTTTAAAAACAACAAAAAAGTTTTAAAACCGGTCATGATGCTAAATGTCCTTTGACCAGAAGATGGCCACTTGGAGTGCCTCTGGTGTAGCTGTGAGAAGGTCCTCCATTGCACATGTCCTCTCGCTCCCACCGCTGTAACAAGTACGGCTGGTGGGGATGAGAGAGAGGGCCTTCTCGGTGGTGGCCCCCTGCCTCTGAAACGCCCTTCCAAGGGAATAAGACATCCCTCTCCTCTTTTCGTAAGAGCTTGAAGACTCAGGCCCAACTGATTTTTTGGTTGTTGTTAACAGAATGTTGAACTTCAGGACAGGTACATCTTCAGGACAGGTTCAACTTCCTAGGGCTTTGAGAACGACTAGTGCCAGCCCAGCCCCTGGACACTATTAGAATCTGGCTTTGCACCCCCATCTTCTATCCCGGACACTTCCCCAATTGACCCTGGAATTGAGCAGCCACAGGCCCCACTATTACTATGGTTGGTGTCTGTTACTGCACCCTATCCATTCCCCCATGTCCTGTTTTTGCAGTAGTCCCAATCCAGCCCTTTTAATTTACCTAGGCCCATTTTTGAAAATCTTGCCCTAACAGTAATTTTTGCATGAAGAATTGGGTGGGATTGGTTTTTAATATATTTGTGTTGTTTTCATCATTCTTCGTATGTTGGTGTTTTGCTCCCCTAGTCCCCATGGGGAGATAGAGATAGGGGAGATAGAGCGGTATATAAATAATGTGGTGGTGGTGGTGTTCTTCTTCTTCTTCTGTTTTTTTAAATTGTTGTTATTATTATTATTATTATTATTATTATTATTATTATTATTATTATTATTAGAAACACAACAAGATGAGTCCACAGCAAACAAGAACACTCTGCTGGCTGTTGCATTGGATCACACGTCAGACACTTCTCAAGTGTCTAAGACTGTGTGATGTATCGGCCAATAATGCGTGCAGATCCCAAAGGTGGTCTTTTGCAGCTGGCAGATGGTAATGTTGTCAGCGCCGATTGTGTTTAAGTGCAGGCCAAGGTCTGTAGGCACTGCACCCAGTGTGCCGATCACCACTGGGACCACCTTGACTGGCTTGTGTCAAGAGTCTTTGCAGTTCGATCTTTAAATCCTCATATCATGTCAGTTTTTCCAGTTGTTACTCTTCAATCCTGCTGTCACCTGGGATCGCAACATCAGCAATCCATGCTTTTGTTTTTTAACACAATTGTGAGGTCAGGAGTATTGTGCTCCAAAGCTCTCTCTGTTTTAATTCGGAAGTCCCAGAGGAGTTTGACGTGCTCATTTTCTGTAACTTCTTTATTATTATTAGTATTATTGGTGGTGGTGGTGGTCTGTGGTTTGCTCTTCTCCACACTCGCATGTTGTGGACTCCACATTGTAGCCCAATTTCTTAAGGTCAGCTCTGCATCTCATGTGCCAAAGCGCAGTCTGCTCAGCGCCTTCCACATCACCCAGTCTTCTGTGTGCCCAGGAAGGAGTCTCTCATCTGGTCTCAACAATTGATCACGGTGCTGGGTTTTAACCTGCCACTTTTGGACTCTTGTTTGCTGAGGTATTCCTACGAGTATCTCTGTCACTCTTAGGAAGCTATGTCTTGATTCAAGGCATTGGCATGCTGGCTGATATCTGAACAGAGGATGGGCCGAAGATGTCACTGCCTTGGTCCTTTCACTGCTGGCTGCTACTTCCCGGAAGTTGTCAGGTGGTGCAATACCGGCTAAACAGTAAAATTTCTCCAGTGGTAAGCCTCCCCACAGGATTGCAACACATCCAGGTGCCTCCTGGGCAATGTCTTTGTAGACGGCTGATTCTCTCACACCAGAAGCAACCAGAAGCAACTTGCCCTTGGTTTGCTTTTGATACAATAAATAAAATAAATCCTGTGATAATGCAGCATGTCTCATTAAGAGCCACATCCACTGTTTTATTCCACACTGGGCATGCATATTCAGCAGAAGTAGCTGCAAGGGCAGATGTGTCTTCACTGTGCCTGGTTGCGTTCCCCAAGTTGTGCCATTCAGCTTTCATATGATATTGTTTCGATGCCCACTTTTTGCTTGACGTTCAGGCAGTGCTTCTTGTAGGTCAGAGCACAGTCCAGGGTAACTCCCAGATATTTGGGTGTGCTGCAATGCTCCAGTGGGACTCTTTCCCAGGTAATTCTCAGAGCTCAAGATGCTTGCCTGTTCTTAAGATAGGCAGTAAGAGCATCTAAAGCTTCTGAGAGCTTCTGTTCAACCATTTCAAAGCTCCCTGCTTGGGCGGTGATGGCAAGATCATCAGCGTAGATGAAACTCTCTGTCCCTTCTGGCAGTGGCTGGTCATTTGTGATTGTGCTTATTGTAATTTTATATTGTTATGTAGTCACATGTTTTATGTAATTATGTTGTGGTTTATTGTTTGCGTTTTCGGTTTACGTTTTTGGTTTTACTCTGTTGTAATTTGTTGTTTGGGCTTGGCCTCATGTAAGCCGCCCCGAGTCCCCATCAGGGAGATGGTGGCGGGGTATAAATAAAGATGATGATGATGATGATGATTATTATTATTGTTAAACATTGATGGAGTGAGCACGCTCCCCTGAGGCAGGCCGTTCTTCTGTTTCCGCCATCTGCTTCTCTGGCCCTGGAACTCAACAAAAAAGCTCCTGTTTTGTAGCAGATTTCCTATGAAGCCAGTGAGGTGGTTGTCCTTTGTGATATTATAATTTTTTCTCAGGGGAAGGCGATGATTTACAGTATCATATGATTCTGACAAGTCATCTATTTATATGTTTGTCTTATATGTGCAAAACAGACCTATGGTTTGGCTTGACCTCATGGGCCTCTCCTGGTGAAACGGGGGGATGAGAAGGGCAGCAATGAGCCAAGGAGGACACTTCCCCTGCATCCAGACCCCCTTCCCACGGCCACTCTACCTGTGCCCAAGCGCTCCAGTGGGCAATGGCGGAGGAGTTGGGTGATCAAGTCCTGGGCGTCTGGTGGGAGGGATTCATCACCCTCGGGCCAAATGATTTCGTCTAGGGAAGCAAACAAGAGGAGAAAAACAAAACAAAGAGAGCGCAATTAATGGAGCAATCAAACCCACTGAAAACCTGGCAAAATATATACATTGTCTTCACTGCCCACATAAGAAAAGAAAAGAAAAACACTAGAAGGTATTAATAATGGTAAGCATTACAATGGTTGAAAGTGGAGATGGTTACATTGCAAAAATGCTGTTATAGATCCATCAGGTTAGACTCCCTGCATCATTTCCATTTAAGAAGGGTAAACAAAATCTACTTTTTTGAGAAGAGAATTACCAATTTGCATGTTCAAAACATTAAGTTTTCATGCTGGTGGATGTCAGCTTCAACCTTCAACTGGACCAGAGAATTTACATGTCTGATTTTATAATGATAATAATAATAACAATTATGGTAATCATCATTATAATCATAATGATAACAATTATTACCATTATTAATAATAATATTATTCTCATTTGGCCCTCCGGTGGCGCAGCGGGTTAAATGGCTGAGTTGCTGAACTCGCTGACCAAAAGGTTGGCAATTCGAATCTGGGAAGGGGGGGGGGTGAGTTCCCGCTGTTAGCCTACCTAGCAGTTTGAAAACATACAAATGTGACTCGATCAATCGGTACCGCTTCTGCAGGAAGGTAACGGCACTCTATGCAGTCATGCTATTATTATCATCATTATGAAAGACAGGTAAATTATCTGGTGAGATATAAAGGAATAATCATCATTTGGTGTCATTTGAACTTGGCTCGGACTTTTACATGGACATAGTGATAATACTACTACTACTAATAATAATCATTGTTATTATTAATAACAATTATGAATAATAATAAAATCTGCAAAGACTGTGGAACAAGCCAGTCAAGGTGGTCCCAGTGGTCATCGGCACACTGGGTGCAGTGCCTAAAGACCTTGGCCTGCACTTAAACACAATTGGCGCTGACAAAATTACCATCTGCCAGCTGCAAAAGGCCACCTTATTGGGATCTGCACGCATTATTGGCCGATACATTACACAGTCCTAGACACTTGAGAAGTGCCCAATGTGTGATCCGATACAACAACCAGCAGAGTGGACCCCCCGGTGGCATAGTGGGTTAAACCCCTGTGCCAGCAGGACTGAAGGCCGAAAGGTCACAGATTTGAATCCGGGGAGAGCATGGATGAGCTCCCTCTGTCAGCTCCAGCTCTCCATACGGGGACATGAGAGAATCCTCCCACAAGGATGGTAAAACATCAAAACATCTGGGCATCCCCTGGGCAACGTCCTTGCATACGGCCAATTCTCTCACACCAGAAGCGACTTGCAGTTTCTCAAATTACTACTGACACAACCAAAAAAAAAAAAAGCCAGCAGAGTGATCTTGTTTTCTGTGGACTCATCTTGTTGTGTTTCAAAGAATAATTGCTATTATTTCTATCATTATAAAAGACGGGTAAATTCTAAAAATAATAATTTTGTGTGATTGATGTAAACTTGGCTTGGACTTTGGAATGGACAGAAAGATAATACTACTACTAATAATAATTGTTATTGTTATTATTATCATTATAAAAGACAGGTACATTTTCTGGAGAGATAGAAAGAAATAATAATATTGTGTGATGTGAACTTGGCTTGGACTTTTAAATGGACTTAATGATATTATTATTATTATTATTATTATTATTATTATTATTATTATTAATAATAATAATAATTGGCAAGGCTCCCTTTTTTAAATGAGGGATGCCCTTGATGTGGTGTCCTCCCTCCTGCCATCGTTCACACTTGTTCAGGAAGACTCCTTTGTTTTCAGATTACCCGAAGAGCTTTTTTGTTTAGATGTTGAGTGGACAGCACAATGCCTGAGAACAGTGTTGACCCCACAGCCCTTCCTCACTCTCAACATCCAGTGGGAATAGCGTTGACTCTCTTTCCTTTCCCGCAAACTAGAGGCCAGCTTACCACTGATGACCTGCCCAAAGAGCTCCTCTGGTGTGTCGCCAAAGAAGGGGACGCATCCCACCAGGAACTCGTAGAGGATAATGCCCATCGCCCACCAGTCCACCGGCTTGCCGTAGCCCTGGATCAGGATCACCTCTGGAGCAATGTATTCAGGGGTCCCACAGACCTGAAACAGAGAGGAAAGGAGAACCTTCAGGAGTTTGGTCCACTCCTGGAACTCCCCTATTCTCTGGGGGTCCCTAAGGGATACTAACGTGTCGTGGGAGTTGCTGGTACGTGATGTGATTTATAGTTTCCAAATCATGACCTTCCTGAACCGCTGCAAGTTTCCCCGAAGCAAGCAAAATACAGCAACAAAATGCTTCAGCCTGTCTATCAGCAGAGTCCAACCGCCAGCATCTGACCTTATCTACACACTATATTAAACTCAAGGATTCGGGTTTTCATCCACCATTGCAATATATACAAAACTAGCTGTACCCGCCACGCATTGCTGTGGCCAAATTTCCCTCCCTCCCTTCCTTCTTTGTCTTTTTTTCTTCCTTTCTCTGCTTTCTTCCTTCTCTACCTCTTTGTTTCCTTTCTTCCACACTACCCTCTATCCCAGTCCCAGAATATCAAGGTAGAAAATCCCACAATATCTGCTTTGAGCTGGTTTTTCTGAGTCCACACTTAGATAATGTGGGATGTTCTGCCTTGATATTCTGGGATAGAGGGCTGTGTGGAAGGGCTCTCTGAAAACCCAGTTGAAAGTAGATGTTGTGGGTTATTGTGCCTAGATATTTTGGTTATAGGGCTGTGTGGAAGGGCCCTGGTTTATCTGAGTCTACACTGCCATATATTCCATATGAAAGGTGTTAATGTGGGGTTTTAATCAGGTATGTGGAAGGGGCCTTGGATAGAAATGCAACCAAAGACCAAACCTAGAAAACGGATCTTGTTTGTAGGTTGAAGACTGCCTGTAATTCTACAGGGGTGTCTCTTCCTTTTCCTTCGTAAAAGGCCTCAAGGGCTGTAAAGTTGCCCCCACCAACATGCACCACTCTCCTGAGGCACTCTGTTGATGCTCAGGGGTGGCCTTGGCCTGCCAGGCTCATCCTCCTCCTCCTCCTGCTGCTGGAAGGATTTCCTTTCCCCCTCAGTCATTTTCTCTCTCTCTCCCGGTGGGGGGACTTCAGTGGCCTGCTCACCTTCTTGTCTCTGTGCCAAGCAGGGATCCCTTTGGCGGTGACACCAAGCCCAGAAGAGAAAGTGCTGGGATGGGAAGGGGGGGAAGAGACCTCCAAGGGCCATCTAGTCCAGCCCCTTCTACCTTATAGGAGAAGCACAACCAAAGCACTCCTGACAGAGGGCCATTCAGACTTTGGTTAATAATAGAGTAGTAGGGTAGGAAGAGACCTCCAAAGGCCATCCATCCCAATTAGATTACTGTTACATCCCGATTAGATTACTGCAACGCACTCTGCGTGGGGTTGCCTTTGAAGACTGTTCGGAAACTCCAACTAGTCCAGCGAGAGGCAGCCAGATTGCTCACCGGAGTGTCATACAGGGAGCATACCACCCCCCTGTTGTGTCAGCTCCACTGGCTGCCGATCCAGTTCCAAGCACAATTCAAAGTGCTGGTTTTGACCTACAAAACCCTATACGGTTCCAGCCCAGTGTATCTGTCCGAACGGATCTCCCTCTATGTCCCACCTTGAAGTCTAAGATCTTCTGGGGAGGCCCTGCTCTCGACCCCGCCTCTATCACAAGTGAGATTGGCGGGGATGAGGAGCAGGGCCTTCTCGGTGGTGGCCCCTCACTTGTGGAATTCACTCCCTGGGAAAATTAGAACAGCGACATTCCTCCTTTCCTTCAGGAAAAAAATGAAAACATGGATTTGGGACCAGGCATTCAGACAATCGGGCAGATAAAGAAAGTTTTCGACGATGGACAGAAATTGACAAAGTGGAATGGAATTATGGAACTCTGAAAGACGAACGCTGAGCTTGAGATTAGTTTTTCATTGATTGTGTTTTATTTTAATTGATTGCGTTATATACTGACTGTTTTAATTGTGATAATTGTTGATTGCTGTTTTTATATGTATATGTATTCTATGTAGGCATTGAATTGTGCCTTTTTTGTAAGCCGCCCTGAGTCCCCCCTCGGGGGTTGAGAAGGGCGGGATAAAAGTACCCGAAATAAATAAAAATAAATAAATCCAGCCCAGCCCCTTCTGCCATATGGGAGAAGCACAAGCAAACCACTCCTGAAAGATGGCCAGCCTCAGCTTCATAATAATCTGTATCAGGCACATGCACACACACCTTTACCTGCAAAGGGAGTGGGAGTGCTCAATTTGGTGCGGCTGCTCGGGGCCCACTTCTCCCCAAACCGACTCCCTCCTGCACTGTTGGAGCTGCCAGCTATGTACACGGAGGTCTGCCCTCACTGCCAGTAGCACAGCAGCTCCCTGTGGGTCTCCCTCCTTCCTTCTCTCCCTCCCTCTGAGCAGCGGGGCTTCTTCCCGCCTCCCTCCCTATCTCCCTTCCCTGCCGGCTGTTGCTTCTTTTGGCGATGAGGAGAAGCCAATGGGGGCGAGAGAGAGAGACGATGGAGGAGCTCTCCAGCGCGCATGCACCCTCCCCACCCCTGTGCGCATGCTCCGTGTTGTCCTCTCCTTTTTTTAGAATTTGTTAGTTTGTTTTGGTGGTTTCTTTTAATTTTTATGATTGTTGGTCATACCTTGGGGTATGAGTCATTTCGAGGCCAAATTTGGTGATATTTGGTCCTGTATTTTTTTTCATTTTTAAGCCACTCACGACGACAACAACATTTTTATATATATAGATGTACAAACAGGTTGCACAAATCCACTTTCAAGCTTGTTCTCAGTCACATACAGAATAGACAGATACTCACACTGAGTCACACAGGAGAGAGGAAGATGGATTCTTTCATCCCTCTTTTATAGCCATCTGCTGACTGGTCAGCAGTAGGAACACTGGCTGATGCAACCCCTCTGCAATGACTACTGGCTGATGCAACCACTTTGCGATAACCCTCATATGGTAATGACTCAGCCATTACCACACCCCCATCATGACATTCACAGTCACTACCCAGGCGCTATCAATATTCCACATGTTCATCAACAGCATTTTTTTCATGATTAGAAATGCTGTGCCATTTCTAGCTAACATAGCAGACCTCCAATTAGAGGCGGCCCTAGGTAATTTTCAATGGTAAGCAATCAGTATTTTGGCGCCCCCCCCCCCCAACCAATCACCGATATATATTTTCTGTTCGTTGTGGGAGTTCTGTGTGCCATATTTGGTTCAATTCTATCATTGGTGGAGTTCAGAATGCTCTTTGATTGTAGGTGAACTATACATCCCAGTAACTACAACTTGCATATGTCAAGGTCTATTTTTCCCCTAGAGTGCCCCTGGGCAAAATCAACTATACTGCAAATGCTTACTTTGCGTAATGGGCTGAACCGCCCCTGCCTCCAATCCAGTACCTGCTTATCCACAAACTCCCGAGTGTCTTTCTCGATGTGGCCCTCGTAGAGGTTGGTAGTCAGGTTCATCAAGCCGATCTTGGAGAGGCCAAAGTCGGTGAGCTTGATGTGGCCCATGGAGGTGATCAGCAAACTGAGCAGAAAGGGGAGAAAAGAGGCTTAAGAGAAGGCCTTCACCAGGGTTCACCCCAAAAGGCTGGGCAGCGCGCCATTTTGGCACCAAGACAAATGGGCAATGTAGTAGCTTTGATGTAGCCTTCACTTCTGTTGGCAAGACTGATAACCAACTCTACGGCAGTGGTTCTCAACCTGTGGGTCCCCAGATGTTTTGGCTTTCAAATCCCAGAAATCCTAATAGCTGGTAAACTGGCGAGGATTTCTGGGAGTTGTAGGCCAAAACACGTGGGGACCCACAGGTTGAGAACCACTGCTCTATGAGGATATATACACCGCAGGAGCAAACTAATGGGACAGATGTTATATTCAAGGGAAAACCCCAGACAGTGGCCATTAGGCCTATTCAATGCATGGTTCTAAATGGTTCTAAAGTATTGTTGAAGGCTTTCATGGCCTGAATCACTGGGTTGTTATAGGTTTTTTCGGGCTGTATGGCCATGGTCTAGACTAGAGGCATTCTCTCCTGACGTTTCGCCTGCATCGATGGCAAGCATCCTCAGAGGTAGTGAGGTCTGTTGGAACTAGGAAAAAAGGGTTTATATATCTGTGGAATGACCAGGGTGAGACAAAGGACTCTTGTCTGCTGGAGCTAGGTGTGAATGTTTCAACCGATCACCTTGATTAGCATTTGATTGCCTGGCAGTGCCTGGAGCAATCTTTTGTTGAGAGGCCATTAGATGTCCCTGTATCTTTCCTCTCTGTTGTTGTGCTGTTCACCTCCTTCAAGATGAACTGAACCACCTCAACTGTGCCTGGAGCAAACCATGAAAATGAACAAAATCTGGCTACCAGTATTAAAAAACTCTAAAATTGCAACAGCACAACAACAGAGAGGAAGCAGGCAGGGACATCTAATTATCTCTCAACAAAAGTTTGCTCCAGGCACAGTCAGCCCATTGTATGCTAATCAAGGTGGTCAGTTGAAACATTCACACCTAGCTCCAGCAGACAAGAGTCCTTTGTCTCACCCTGGTCATTCCACAGATATATAAACCCTTTTTCCTAGTTCCAACAGACCTCACTTCACTACCTCTGAGGATGCTTGCCATAGATGCAGGCGAAACGTCAGGAGAGAATGCCTCTAGACCATGGCCATACAGCCCAAAAAACCTACAACAACCCGGTTCTAAAGTACTTACAAAACTAAAGTTCTGGTGGTGAAAATTTCAGAACTCTAACAAAGCTCTCAAAATTTCATTATAAATGGCAGTTCCTAATTGGTTCTGTCATAAAAATAGTCGCCTAAGGGCTGAGAAGAGCGGTATACCAGTAAAGTAAAGTAAATAAATAATAAATAAATAAAGAAATAATAATTAAAATTTGAAAGAGTTCTGAAAATTTCACCGCCAGAACTTTAGTTTTGTAAGTACTTTAGAACCATTTAGAACCATGCATTGAACAGGCCTAGTGGCCATCCCTTTCTGGAGTTTGCTCCCCACCGCCCCTCTCCTCCCCAAATCGCCCATACTTGTCTGGCTTGAGGTCCCGGTGGACGATGCCATAGTTGTGGAGGTATTCCAGGGCCAGGACTGTCTCCGCAAAATACATCCGGGCCATGTCCACCGGCAATGGGCCCATGTTCTTCAGCAGGGTGGCACAGTCCCCACCTGTGGAGGGGCAAAAAGGGTTAGTGGGATCAGAGCCAGTCTCCTGATGTACACAAGTTGGTGTCAAGGCTTGTGATGAAGATGAAGGCTGCTTCACCCAGCATAGGAATGAATTGTTAATTCATAGGACACGACATCGCATAATATACAACCTTTAAAAGTACAATACAATAAGTACAATAAGCACTTTCCAATATAAGTATTAAAACTTATTCCATATACTGGCTCTTTAAAATCATAGTAACAGTGACATGATAACAATAACAAATGTCTGATTTGTATCATCCTAAACCAGGGGTCCTCAAACTTTTTAAACCAGGGGCCAGTTTACTGTCCCTCAGACCATTGGAGGGCCGGACTATAGTTTTTGTTTTTTTAAAATCAATAAAAAAATTCCTATGCACATTGCACATATCTTATTTTGCTGCGTGGAAGGGCCCTTCGAGGGGGTTCTTTCTAGCCCTCTTTAAGCAGTAATTCCAGGAGCAGAGAATGGGAAATCTTCTTATTTCTAGTCTGAACAAAATCTGGCTACCAGTATTAAAAAAAAAACTCTAAAATTATAACTGTAAATAAAGAACAACACTCAAACAAAGGGGAACTCCAGACAAGAAACAATCAGGACCAGCTGATCACCTCTCAACAAAGGATTCTCCTTAAAAATTGTCAGGCTATGAAATGGTAATCAAGGTGGCCAATTGAAACATTCATACCTACCTCCAACAGACAAGAGTTGTTTCTCTCACCTTGGATCTTCCACAATTTTCCTAGTTAAAGGTTTTCCTCTGACATGAAGTCCAGTCGTGTCTGACTCTGGGGTGTGGTGCTCATCTGCATTTCTAAGTCGAAGAGCCGGCGTTGTCCATAGACACCTCCAAGGTCATGTGGCCGGCATGGCTACATGGAGCGCCTGGGCAGCCTCCCTTGGCTGGCTCACGCTGCCCATCAGGCCCAATGGGCAGCGTGAGCCTGCCAAGGGAGGAACAGCCCCGTGCGGCCTACTCATGCGTAAAGCGCCTCATGAGGTGCTTTACGCGCTGCTGCCCTTGGCTGGCGCACGCTGCCCATCCGGCCCGATGGGCAGCGTGAGCCTGCCAAGGGAGGAGCATCCCCGCACGGCCTACTCGCGCGTAAAGCACCTCGCGAGGTGCTTTATGCGCAAGTAGGACACGCGGAGCAGCTGCCCTTGGCTGGCTCACGCTGCCCATCGGGATAGCGTGAGCCAGCCAAGGGAGGGGCACTGTGTGTGTGGGGGGGTCGCTCCTCATCTGCGGGCCAGATAAGTGCCCTTGGCGGGCCAGAAGTGGCCCGCGGGCTGTAGTTTGAGGACCCCTGTCCTAAACTATCTCCATTTCCATTTCTAGCCTACGAGTCTGGGGCAAGCTGACAGCAGCAGTCTGACACAGGGATCTACCCCTGAGGAGGAGGACGGAGCCTCAAGGAAATAGGGACACTGAGTTAGGGCAGGATGAGGAGTTTCAGGAAGGATTCCAGCTATCAAGCCTGCAATTACGAACTGATGCCATCCAACGGAGGACATCTAATTGGTTGGCTCAGAGGTGGGCCAACGGGTGAGAACACTCGAGGAAAGTGGCATAATAGCTAAAGATTGGAGGTGGTAGTTGCTGGGAGCAACGTTGTGGCATTGTTACGAGTCCAAATCTCTGTTGGCGAACTCTGTGATTGGACCTTGACTTTGGAGTCTGGCCCAGGGCTTGATTGGTGAGATTGCTTCATTTTGACCCTTGGAAAGAGCTCTGGACTATTTGTATGCTTTTGTATTAAACTTTATTTGTACCCCGCTAGCATCTCCCGAAGGACTCGATGCGGCTTACAAAGGCCATGGCCTCAACACAATAACAACAAACAATAACAATGCAGCAAATTAAAACATAAGCAATAACACAACAAAATATTACACTATTACACAATAAAATCAGGGCTGGGCCAATGATGGGTACAGGTTAAAAAGTGCTGGGTGTGTGAGGTGGTATGTTGGGAGTTCTGGGCAAGTGCAATGTGCAGAGAGTATTAAACTCTAATAAAGTGCTTCTGGGACAGAGTGTTGGAGATTATCCTATTCTGGAAAGGCACATCGGAATAGCCAGGTCTTCAAGTTCTTCCTAAAGACTGCCAACGTGGGTGCTAGTCTAATGTCTTTGGGGAGGGTGTTCCAAAGTCGGGGGGCAACCACAGAGAAGGCCCTGTCTCTCGTCCCCACCAAACGCGCCTGGGGATTGCTATAGCCCAGGGTTGCTATAAAGCAGTGGTTCTCAACCTTCCTAATGGCGTGACCCCTTAATACAGTCCCCCATGTTGTCGTGACCCCCAACCATAATATTGTTTTCATTGCTACTTCATAACAGTCATTTTACTACTGTTATAAATCATAATGTAAATATCTGATATGCAGGATGCATTTTCATTCACTGGACCAAACTGGGCACAAATACCCAATACACCCAACTGTGAATACTGGTAGGGTTGGGGGAGGATTGATTTTGTCATTTGGGAGTTGTAGTTGCTGGGATTTATAGTTTACTTATAATCAAAGAGCATTCCGAACCACCAATGATGGATTTGAACCAAACTTGGCTCCCATGACCAATGGAAAACATTGGAAGGGTTTGATGGGCATTGACCTTGAGTTTGGGAGTTGTAGTTCACCTATATCCAGAGAGCACTGTGGACTCATGCAATGGTGGATCTGGACCAAACCTGGCATGAATACTCAATATGCCCAAATGTGAACACTGGTGGAGTCCGGGAAAAATAGATCTTGACATTTGGGAGTTGTAGTTGCTGGGATTTATAGTTCATTACAATCAAAGAACATTCTGAACTCCACCAATGATAGAATTGGCTCAAACTTCCCACATGGAATCCCCATGACCATCAGAAAATACTGTGTTTTCTTATGGTCTTTGGCGACCCCTCTGACACCCCCTCGCGACCCCCTCAGGGGTCCCGACCCCCAGGTTGAGAAACATTGCTATAAAGTAAAAATGGATGGCCATCTTTCGGGAGTGTTTTGATTGTGCCTTCCTAGTTAGTCTTTCCTATCTCACAGAGCGTGCATTTATCCTTTCTTTGAATACTGGGCTTCATTTCCCAGAATTCCTTCCCATAACTCAATATGGATTAGCTTTCTGGACGGACACACACACACAGAATCCCTCCCGTGTGAGTTCCCAGCAGCGGAGGCATCTCCATGCTGCCGACAGCCAAGACTCAAGAGGGAAAGGGAAAAAAAGGAACGGAAAGGAAAGGAAGGAATGGGAGGGGGTAGATCTGGAGAAGGGTGTTCTCTCTCTCTCTCTCTCCCTCCCTCTTTCTCAATCCTTTGGGAAGAGAGAGGCAGGGGTTAGCAAGAGGGATATACCAGCCACCTTTCCCTCCCTCTCTCAAGCTACCTCTCTCTCAGCTGTTGTTTTTTTCCCCCTCATGCAGGAGGGAGGGTGTTCTTTTAACGCATGCTCTGTATAGTTATTTAGGCTTGTGGGGGTTTAAGTTCTTTCTCATTATTTTTTTCGTTATTTTGAGTGAAGGACATAGATTTCTTTAGTTGTTGTCTTGTGTTCAAATTTGGTGTCAATTGTCAAGTGGTTTTTGAGCTCTGTTAATCCCACAAACAAACATTACACTTTTATAGATTACTAGCTGTGCCCTGCCACACGTTGCTGTGGCCTATAGTAAGAATTTTCAAAGTAGAGATAGATATCTGGATTATTATGAAAGAGAGGTACATACCTATTCCCAGGGCCGTAGCCAGAAAAAAATTTCGGGAGGGGTTGAAATTTTCGGGGGAGGGGAGTTGAAAATTTTGCGGGGGGGGGGGGGGGGTGTTGAAACCTGCCTCCTAGCTCACGCTGAAGCAAAGAGCACAGCAGGGAGCAGAGCAGCCTTCAATAGCCTGCAGCTCCGCCCCTGTCAACCCCCTCCACCAAGTCTGGCCTCCTTAATGAGAGCATTCAACACACACACACCAACTTGGTTGCTTCACTACATCGGCTATTGCTGCAAGTAATGACAGTGTGAATAAATTGTCAATATCTAAGGCCTTGCATGGTCTGGGGCCGATGTACCTGAGGGACCGCCTCACCCCCTACCAACCCCAGAGATCCCTCCGTTCTGAGGACCAAGATCTATTGGAAATTCCCAGTGTCAAGACCTTGCGTCTAACAGCAACCAGACGCAGAGCCTTCACAGCAGTGGCACCATCACTCTGGAATACTCTGCCACCTGAAGTCCGTGCCTTGCGGGACTTATCAGCTTTCCGCAGGGCATGTAAGACATATCTGTTTCGACGGGCCTTTGATCTCTGATATTGCTGTTTTTAAATTGTTTTAAATTGTTTTTAAATTGTGTTCGATTTTAGCCTGTTCTTGTAAGTCGCTCCGAGCCCCAGGGGAGTGGTGGCATATAAGTTTGAATAATAAATAAATAAATAAATATTTGCTTGAGATAGTGTTTGCAGTTCTGGAGGGACTCTTAATTTTTTGCATCTCATAGACTTAGCATGGGGATTTGGTTAACCAGTTAAAATTCATGAGTAAACTGGGTTTTTTAAAAAAAAAATCTGAAACATTTCGGGGGGGGGGTTTGAACCCCTAAACACCCCCCCCCTCGCTACAGGCCTGCTTATTCCTTCCCCCTTTTTCTTCCCCTTCCCCTTTCTCTCCTTTCTTCCTTCTCTGCCTCTTTTTTCATTCCTTCTTTTGCTCTTTGGTTTCATCCTTCCTTCTCTCTTTCCTTCCTTCCCTTTCCCTTTCTCTACTTCTTCCTTTTCTCCTTTCTTCCCTCCCTGTTTCCTTCCTTCTTTCACTTTTTATTTCCTTTTCTCCTTCCTTCCTTCTTTACCTCTTTCCTGCCTTTCCTCCCCTTTTTCTTTCTTTTCCTCTCTTCTTCTTTCCTTCAGTACCTCTTGCTTTCCTTCCTTCTCTCCTTCCTTCCCTCCTTCCTTCTCTCTTTCCTTCCTTCACCCTTTCCCTCCTTCATTCCTTCCCTTCTTCCCTCCCTCCTTTCTTCTCTCCTTCCTTCCTGTCTGTTCTCCCCCGATACTATGGTAGAGTCCCTTCTAACTCTATTCTATGAGTCTATTTAATATAGTAATATATAGTAGTAACATTATATTATATAGTAGTATATATAACAATAATATGTATAATACAATCTATATATATAAATTTGTTAGGGGCATCCAACGAGGAAACAAAACTCAAAAACCCCCCAACGAAACTTAACCAAAATTCCCATGCCCATAACACAACCCACAAGGTACAAACATATCTACTCAAAATGAAAAACAACACAACAACACACTCACAAAACGGCAAAACAACAAAACTCAAAAATCCCCCAACGAAACTTAACCAAAATTCCCATGCCCATAACACAACCCACAAGGTACAAACATATCTACTCAAAATGAAAAACAACACAACAACACACTCACAAAACGGCAAAAGGATAAAACTCTAAAAAAAACCAACGAAACTTAACCAAAATTCCCATGCTCATAACACAACCCACAAGGTACAAACATATTACTCAAAATGAAAAACAACACAATAACACACTCAAAACGGCAAAAAAACAAAACTCAAAAAAACCCCAACGAAACTTAACCAAAATTCCCATGCCCATAACACAACCCACAAGGTACAAACGTATCTACTCAAAATGAAAAACAACACAACAACACACTCACAAAACGGCAAAACAACTGAGCATGCGCATTGGCGCCCAGCCGCAAGTTCCCTGGCGCGCGCACATGCCCTTCCGGCCAACGTTCCCTCTGCAGAAACCATGCCCACTCCAAGCCCCGCCGCGCCGCTTCCCGCACACACACACACCCCTGCCGCACATACACACACAACCCCACACTCCATCACTCCCCCCGCCGCCGCACACACACACGCAACCCCACTCCCCCCGCCGCCGCACACACACACGCAACCCCACACTCCATCACTTCCCCCGCTGCCGCACGCACACACGCAACCCCACTCCCCCCGCCGCCGCACACACACACGCAACCCCACGCTTCATCACTCCCCCCGCCGCCGCACGCACACACGCAACCCCACTCCCCCCGCCGCCGCACACACACACACAACCCCACGCTCCATCACTCCCCCCGCCGCCGCACACACACACGAACCCCACGCTCCATCACTCCCCCCGCCGCCGCACACACACACAACCCCACGCTCCATCACTCCCCTGCCCCAATCTTACCTCCTTTTACTTCACGCCACCTCCAAACCCCACCGCGCCCCTTCCCGCCCTGTCAAAATCCAGGAAAGAAGGAAGGAAGGAAAGAAGGAAGAAAGAGAAAGGGAGGTAAAGAAAAAGGGGGAAAGGAAGGAAAGTTAGAGAAAGAAGGAAGAAGAAAAGGAAAAGAAAAGGAAAGAGGAAGAAAGAAAAGAAGAAAAGAAAGAAAAAGGGGGGAAGGAAGGAAAGAGAAAGAGAAAGAAGAGGAGAAGGAAAGATGGGAGGGAAGGAAGGAAGGAGGGAAAGAAGGAGAGAAAGAGGGAAGATTGGCCACAGCAACACGTGGCGGGTAAAGGTTGTTATTTCTATTATTATTATTATTATTATTATTATGGCTATTGTTCCTATGAGACCCTGGGGGAATGGGAGAGGTGTCAGGTCCCAGAGGCAATGCATTGCATTATTGTTATTGTTATGATGGTGGTAAAATAAAAGGAAATAAAAAGTGAAAGAAGGAAGCAAACAGGGAGGGAAGAAAGGCAAAGGAAGAAAGGGGGAGGGAATGAAGGAAAGAGAGAAGGATGAAACCAAGTAGTAAAGAAAGAAAGAGGTAGAGAAGGAAGAAAGGAGAGAAAGGGGGAGGAAAAGGGGGAAGGAATAGGTAGGGACCTCTCTTTCATAATAGTCCAGATATCTACCTCAACTTTGATAAGTTTTACTATAGGCCACAGCAACGCGTGGCAGGGCACAGCTAGTTATATATATATATATATACACAAGCGACTTAAGAAAGTGCAAGTCGCTCCTGTTGTGAGAGAATTGGCCGTCTGCAAGGACGTTGCTCAGGGGACGCACGGATGATTTGATGTTTTTATCATCCTTGTGGGAGGCTTCTCTCATGTCCCCGCATGAGGAGCTGGAGCTGATAGAGGGAGCTCATCCGCCTCTCCCCAGATTCGAACCTGCGACCTGTCGGTCTTCAATCCTGCTGGCACAGGGCTTTAACCCACTGCACCACCGGGGGCTCCAATATATAATAGTAATATATAAAGTATTGTAATATATACACACACCCCAACCAGTGATCCAACATCCATCCGTGTGTGTGTGTGTGTGTGCGCGCGCGCGTGTGCATGTGTCTATACTGCTATATAATCCAGTCCTAAGTAGATAATCTGGATTTTACATGGCAGTGTGGAAGGGGTGACTTTGGATGCATCTAAACTGTAGATTTAATAAAGGAGCATGAAGCTGGTGAGGGGAGGAGGAAAAGGAAGGAATGAAAGGGAGCGAGAAAAGGAAAGGAAGGGAGGAAGGAGGGAAGGGAGGGAGGGGAAGAAGAAAGGAAGGAGAAGGAAGGGAAGTAGAGAAAGGGAGGAAGGGAAGGAAGGAGGGGGGAGGAGGGGGTTGGACTGGATGGCCTTTAGAGGAGTTTTATTGCCAAATTTGGAGTCATTTGGCCCCACAGTTTTTTTGTTTTTAAGCCACTCATTATGCACAGAGCATTTATATATATATAGAAGATAAGACTTTGAATGGCTGCATTTACAGAGATTCTGTGTGCAGGTCTTTGAGAGTTGGGAAAACAATAAGCAGTTGGACACATGGGCAGCCAGAAAACCCAGTTTGGCTGGTTTTTGGGGCTCTTAAGGGAGCCCCGTAAAACAGACCGCTCCCCTCAGCCTCACCTTCCACATACTCCATGACCATGCACAGGTGGCGCCGGGTCTCAAAGGAGCAGAACATGCTGACCACAAAGGGGTTTTCGGCAAAGGTGAGGATGTCCCGCTCCACAAAGACCTGCTGGATCTGGTTCCGCAGCACCAAGTTCTGCTTGTTGATCTTCTTGATGGCAAAGCGCTGACGAGTTTCCTTGTGCCGCACCAGGTAGACCGCCCTACGGGGAGAGTGCGACATTGGGGCCTCAATTGGGCTGCAACAGCGTCCCAAAGCCAGATTTCCATCCCAAATGGGAAGCGTAGCCCACCCAAATAGACAACTGGCCCAACATACAGTATGTAGAAATTCAATATTCCTTTGTTCAACATATTCCTGTATAATGTACCCCAGGCTTTAGCATTGGTGAATGGTCATAGTCCCAAGTTCAAGTCTACACAAGTCCCCTTATTCTTATATGCAGATGATGTGCTATTTTCCTTATCTAGTATCAGCCTTAAACCCTTAATTCATAGTTTTGCCAATTACTGCGAAATAAATAGACTGGAAATTAACTATGTTAAATCCAAAATTCTCATTTTTGCCAAAAAGTGGAAGCCCGTGACTTGGCAGATCAGGGACCACAAAACTAAACAGGTCAAATACTTTCAATACCTTGGTATTCGCTATAGATATAACCAAGGAATTCAATATGGTGACTCGTCTGAAAATGCCACTGGCTCAAAGGTGCTGTAGGGGGGACTACCGAAATCCCCAATAGTAATGTTGGCTAGGCCACCCATCAATTAATTGCATCTCCCCACATTTTCTGACCCAGGTTTTCTCTTGTGGGGAAGAAGAAACAGTGACTCACCCATAGGCCCCGTTGCTGATGAGCTTGATGGTTTCAAAGTCAGCCTCGCAGGGTTTCCTCCGAGAAACTAGAGTGCAAGACTGTGGGGTTTTTTTTTGGAGGGGGGGGGGGGGGAAGAGAAAGAAGGAGAACACTGCGGTTTTAGATCTTCCTAGCTTTTCCATGCTACTGCCCAACAATCCTATCGACAGTAGACTTTTCAACCAGAACTATCACGCGACCAGCAGAAATCGTATTGTAGTCACAAAGCTGTTTCATTCATATAGTCAAACTGTTGTAATGGTCTGATATCCCCCGCCCCCTGTGACGCAGTGGGTTAAACCATTGAGCTGCTGAACTTGCTGACTGAAAGGTCGGCAATTCGAATCTGGGGAGCATGGTGAACTCTTGTTGTTAGCCCCAGCTTCTATCAACCTAGCAGTTTGAAAGCATGCAATTGTGAGTAGATGAATAGGTACCGCTTCTACGGGAATATCATAGCGCTCCATGCAGTCATGCTGGCCACATGACCTTGGAGGCGTCTACAGACAACGCCGGCTCTTCGGCTTAGAAATGGAGATGAGCACCACCACCCAGAGTCGGACATGACTAGACTTAACACCAAGGGGAAACCTTTGTTTGTTATTTATTCATTCCCGAGTCTTTGTGGCCTCATGGATCAGCTCACACCAGAGTTCCCTGTCAGCCATGGCCACCTGCAGCTCCTTCATGGTTAACTAAGTCACTTCAAGTCTTATGGGAACAAGGGACAGAGCTCGTCTTGTGGGAACAAGGAAGAGAGCCTTCTCCGCTGTGGCCCCCCGACTTTGGAACTCATTGCCCGGGGAGATTAGGCAAGCCCCCTCCTTAGAAACCTTTAAGAAGGACCTCAAAACCTGGCTCTTCCGCTGTGCCTTTGGAGAGTAAACGCACAACTAGACATTGCTGCTACTCCTCAACGTTTATTCCTACAGTACACTTTCCCACGCTTGTATGAAGGCCTGTTTCTACGCCCCCGTTTTTTATGTGCTCTCCCTTACAAATAATCCACTCCATTCCTATCTCACCCTGAGTTTTTAGTATTTTATTCTGTACGTGTGTCCTGTTTATTGTCACTGGGATTACGATTGACTTTTACTGTATTGAATATTGTTTACTGTATTCTCATGTTCTATGTATTTTATTGTATTGTTGTTTCATGCCTTGGTTTTATTTTATTGTAATGTGTTGTTGGGCTTGGCCTCATGTAAGCCCCCCGAGTCCCCGTTGGGGAGATGGTGGCGGGGTATAAATAAAGTTTATTATTATTTATTATTATTCAAGGATACTATCTGTCCATCTAATCCGTAGTCGCCCCTCTTCCTTTTTCCTTCCATTTTCCGAAGCATCATTATATTTTCCAAGCTTTTCTGTCTTCCCATTATGTAGCCAAAGTACTTAGAATCATAGAATCATCGAGTTGGAAGAGACCTCATGGGCCATCCAGTCCAACCCCCTGCCAAGAAGCAGGAATATTGCATTCAAATCACCCCTGACAGATGGCCATCCAGCCTCTGTTTAAAAGCTTCCAAAGAAGGAGCCTCCACCACCCTCCGGGGCAGAGAGTTCCACTGCTGAACAGGAAGTTCTTCCTCGTGTTCAGATGGAATCTCCTCTCTTGTAGTTTGAAGCCATTGTTCCATTGCGTCCTAGTCTCCAAGGAAGCAGAAAACAAGCTTGCTCCCTCCTCCTCCTGTGACTTCCTCTCACATATTTATACATGGCTATCATATCTCCTCTCAGCCTTCTCTTCTTCAGGCTAAACATGCCCAGCTCCTTAAGCCGCTCCTCATAGGGCTTGTTCTCCAGACCCTTGATCATTTTAGTCTCCCTCCTCTGGACACATTCCAGCTTGTCAATATCTCTCTTGAATTGTGGTGCCCAGAATTGGACACAATATTCCAGGTGTGGTCTAACCAAAGCGAGTTATAGGCCAAAAATGACTTCTCTAGATCTAGACACTAGACTCCTATTGATGCAGGCCAAAATCCCATTGGCTTTTTTTGCTGCCACATCACATTGTTGGCTCATGTTTAACTTGTTGTCCATGAAGACTCCAAGATCTTTTTCACATGTACTGCTCTCGGCCAGGCATTGTCCCCCATTCTGTATCTTTGCATTTCGTTTTTCCTGCCAAAGTGGAGTATCTTGCATTTGTCACTGTTGAACTTCATTTTGTTAGTTTTGGCCCATCTCTCTATCTTTGCCTCTAATATACTTCCCTCCAGTGAGCAGCCGGGCATTATTTCCTGGAGGATGGACTGGTTAGATCTTCTCGGAATTTTCCTCCAACACCGAAACCTTTATCTTTTATGTCTGTTTCTTCTTTTCTACCCCATTTGTCCCCGTCACATTTGTCCCAATGCTATCAACTGCACTGAGGATGCCATATTTGAATGACATAGTCACGACAACTTTGTTACATTACATTGTCTTTCTTTTGCCTTCATTAGCTTTTAATGACTGTATTTTAATATGGTATGATCAAGCAAGTGGTATAGTACGGGTCAGGGCTAATAGGAACTCCCAAGCAACCTGAAATAACCTGGCATCTACCAATCCTCATGGCGCCAGTTAACTAGGAGTCAACAATGCTCATATAATTCAAAACCATGACCTACAAAAGCATGGGTCCTCACCTCATCCTGCTGCTCTGACCCCGAAGGTGAGCCACAGTCCACTTGATCGAGACGAACCATTTCTGGGGAGGCAAGAAAAGGGTTGGTCAAGCAGATTGCTGACCACTTTTTGCATTGACTTGTCCTGATCTGCAGTTTTCTAGAGAAGAAATTACCTCACAGACAGACTGGAAGGGCTTTATTTCTCAAAGCATACAGTACGGTTACAAGCAAAGTTCCATCTGACAGCTGGTTTCCCTCTCAACTCATATCCCTCAGTTTGCCTCTTCCCTTCACAGCCCCGTTTCCATGAAAACCCTCTCTCTTGCTTCAAGTGAGCTACAGGCCAAGGCATAGCCTACTTTCATGGTGCCCCACAACACCAGGAAAGGAGGTCATGACATATCTCCCCACCTAAAAAAAGGAGGTCCGGTTTGGCACCATTGTCCAAGACCCTAGAGTTGGAATAGACTCCAAAGAGAACCACCCAGTCCAGTCCCATGGGAAGTCTGGTCAAAGCCGAAGAGAGTGGGACTATGACTTCCCTTTATTATGGATTCCCTTTATTAAGGACCCCCTGATGGTGCAGTGGGTTAAACCCTTGTGCCGGCAGTACTGAAAACTGACAGGTCGGAAGTTCGAATACGGGGAAAGAGCAGATGAGCTCCCACTGTCAGCCTCGACTCCCCATGCAGGGACATGAGAGAAGCCTCCCACAAGGATGGTAAAACATCAAAACATCGCAACGTCCCCTGGGCAACGTCCTTGCAGACGCCCAATTCTCTCACACCAGAAGCGACTTGCAGGTTCTCAAGTCACTCCAGAGATAATAAAAAACCTGAAATTACTTTTTATTATCTCTGTGCCCCATCTGCTTACCTTTCAGGGGATCCTTGGCGAGCCCCAGCTGGCCGATGATGTAGCGAGGAATGTCGGTCTTGATGCCTTGCCCAACTTTGGCCTGGCCTTCAGCGGCCTCCAAAAGGTGGTAGAACTCTTCCGGGTCAAACTCCTGTGGACAAGCATTCAAGAAAGGAAACATGGCCGCCTCGGTTTAAACCCAGATCCGTCCCCCTCCCCTTGGATCATGGTAGCCACAGTCCAAAGCAGGAGCCTTTCTGGAATTTGGAGTCCAAAACAAATGAGTGGAATGCTGTATTAGAGCCGAGAAAGGCTCCCGGTTTGGACGGCAGTTGGCTGAGCAGAAGATGGAAGCCCCAGACCAAAAGAGGAGCCTTTCTCAGCTCTAATGATCAGTCACTTCCTTCAATAGTGGGCCGGGGGGGCCGGGGGGGGGGGGGGAACCAAGCCCACTGTCCCCTTACCAGGCACTCCAGCAGCCGCGCTGGGCGGGAGATGATAATCAGCAACTTGCGGACGAGCTGCTCCACGAAGCGTAGCTCCTCGCTCTCTGAACGCTCTTGTGCCTATAGAACGGGGACGAGAAGAGAAAGAAGGGGGCAATTTGGAGAGTTTGTGGGGTCCTGAGTTTCCCTTGGGGGGGGGGATAAGAAGGGTCCTTTGGGGCTTCTCTGTGTGCATCTGCTCCCCTCCCAGACAGAGAGGGGGATTTTTAATAGGGGTGTCTGAAACAGTGAAAATCCGTTCTATTTTCGTTTCGGGCCTTTCTATAACTCATGAGCCACCTACTGAGCTTGGGGAGACAATTTGGGGTGTGCAGGGGGAGCTTACTCACATCCCACAGCACCTTAAAGTGTGACCGTTTTACTCCATCTCAAGGGGGGAATTGCGTTGGTAGAGGGGTCTCTCTCTCTCTCTCCCAGTGTGTCCCATCCCTTGGCCCCAAGAGCCCCCCCCCCCCCATAACCCATGCCAACCTCCCTATAACCCATGGGCCACGCGGTCCAGCATCTGCTACCCTCCAAGGCAGAGAGGGGCATTTTTAACCCTGCGAAAGTGTGACCCGTTCATTCAGTCTCAAGGGAGGAATTGTGTTAGCGAATGGGTCTCTCCCTGGAAAAGCAGTGTGTACTGTCTGCTAGCCTCAAGAGAGCCCCCTATAACCCATGCCCACCCCCTATAACCCATGCACCACATGGTCCAGCATCCGCTCCCCTCCTAGGCAGAGGGGTATTTTTAATAGGGGAATGCAAAACAGCATAAATCCACTCTGGATCCCCCTATAACCCATTCCCACCCCTATAACCGGAGCCCCCGGTGGTGCAGTGGGTCAAACCCTTGTGCCGGCAGGACTGAAGATTGACAGGTCAGAGATTTTAATATGTAGAGAGCGCAGATGAGCTCCCTCTGTCAGCTCCAGCTCCCTGTGCAGGGACATTAGAGAAGCCTCCCACAAGGATGATGAAACATCAAAACATCCGGGCAATGTCCCCTGGGCAACATCCTTGCAGACGGCCAATTCTCTCACACCAGAAGCAACTTGCCATTTCTCAAATTGCTCCTGACACAAAATAAAAAAAACCTATAACCCATTCCCACCTTCCTATAATCTATTCCTACCCCTTATAACCCATGCTCCACGTAGTTCAGCATTCGCTTCCCTCTGAAGTGGAGAGGAGTATTTTTAACCCTCTGAAAGTGTGACCCTTTGGCTCCATCTCAAGCGTGGATTGTGTTGTTGGAGAGGTCTCTCCCTGAGAGGTACCTCAGCCACAAGATAGGCCTCCTATAATCCATGCTCACCCCCTATAACTAATGCACCATGGATGAACTTTTTGCTCCACCTCAAGGGGGACTGTGTTGTCGGAGCCTCAAGAGAGCCTCCTCATAACCCATGTGCCACCTACTGAGCTTGGGGACAGGAGGGGACAATTCAGGGTGTGTGGGGGGCTCACTCACATCCCGCAGCATCTTCTCCAGCTTCTCCTGGAGCTCCATGAAGTAGCGAGAGGTGACCAGGGCACCCTGGGACTTGGCCAGGCAGTCACGGGCCAGCTCCACAATCTGGTGGTGGATGAAGCCCAACACACCATCCGAGAGTGGCAGGCTGGGCGAGAAGCCAGCCACTGTCTCCGCCAGGCGCTCCTCCATCTGTGCTGTCGCCTGCCAGGAACAGGGAAGGGGTTTGGTTTTCAACCAAAATTACACAGGCACAAATACGATAGGAGTCCCTATATACGTCACCATGAAATTATGTCTGTGCTAGGCATTTTCCGGCTGCTTCTCACCTTCGGGAAGCGTTCCTTGTAGACATGGTTCATCATCACTACCTCATTGTCAAAGGTGCCGGTCGTGCGGCCGGGGCTGAAAAAGTGAGAGGAGTCGGCTGTTATAGGAAATACATTATGATCAATGTTATATGATATAGGTGACCTTTGTATACTTTATGTAAATCGTACACACACACACACACACATATATAGAGAGAGTATGATCCATGTTATATAATATAGGTTACCATTGCAAACTTTATGTAAATTGTCCATAACATGTCAATTTCATTCCATGTAAATTGTATATAACATGGAAATAATAATATTAATAATAACCTGCCATTCATTTTCTGATCCCAATTCAAGGTGCAGGTGCTCACCTACAAAGCCCTAAACGGTTTGGGACCTGCCTACCTGCGTGACCGCATCTCCGTTTACGAACCCGCACTCTCCCTTCGATCATCTGGAGAGGCCCTGCTCTCGATCCCACCTGCATCACAGGCGTGTTTGGTGGGGATGAGGGACAGGGCCTTCTCTGTGGTGGCCCACCGACTCTGGAACTCTCTCCCCAAGGACATCAGACAAGCCCCAACGTTGGCTGTCTTTAGGAAGAGCCTGAAGACCTGGCTGTTCCAGTGTGCCTTTCCAGAATAGGAAACTCCTGGTTTTAAGACCAATGGACTTTACTAGAGACTCAAGATTATCTGCACATTGCACCTACCTCCATATACCTGTATATATTACCTGTCAAGTTCAGCATTTTAATTTTTGTCCATTACATTTGGCCCGGCCTTTGGTTTTAATTATGTTACGGTGTCATTGTTTTACTGTTTTATTGTTTTGCTTGATGTTTATTATTTGCTTTTGAGTTTATTGTGTATTGTATGTTGTTGATTTTTGGAGGCCTTGGCCTTTGTAAGCCGCATTGAGTCCTACGGGAGATTTTGTGGGGTATAAATAAAGTTAATAATAATAAATAATAATAACCTGGGGATTGCTTGTATAATGCCTTATAAGAATAAAAAATAAGACAGAAGGAACTAATCAGTTTATATTATTATTATTATTATTATTATTATTATTATTATTTGAAACACAAAAATATTAGTGCACAGCAAACAAGATCACTCTGCAGCCTGTTGTATTGGATCACACGTCAGACACTTCCCAAGTGTCTAGGACTGTGTGATGTATCAGATAATAATGCGTGTAGATCCGAGTTATTATTATTATTATTATTATTATTATTATTATTATTATTATTAATTTTACTGACACAAAACCACAGTATGACATGGCAAATGAGATATATATGCTGGATTTCGTATCACAAAATCACAAGTCAAACACTTCCGAAGTGTTTAGTACTGTGTGATGTATTATATTGTTGTTGTTGTTATTATTATTATTATTATTACTACTACTACAACAGACAGCATAGTGATCGTGTCTGCTGTGTACTAATCTTGTTGTTTTTCTAACAACAACAACAACAACAACAATATATTCTGTGTATTATCGAAGGCTTTCATGGCTGGAATCACTAGGTTCTTGTGGGTTTTTTTCGGGCTATAGGGCCATGTTCGGGCTATAGGGCCAAGGAGAATTGCCTCTAGAACATGGCCCTATAGCCCGAAAAAACCCACAAGAACCTAACAATATATTCTAATACTAAGAATAGATACATAGCCACTTTGAGTCTCCTTGTGGAGAGAAAAGCAGGGTATAAATAAACATAATAATAGCTCGAGATCTCTTTATAATTCTATGATACGATAGAGAGGATTGGGGCATGGACTAGATGACCTCTGTAGGTCCCATCCCACTCTACATCTCTCAGAAACTCCCAGCCGGCGGTGTTTGCGCATTTCCCCGAGGCCTGGAATGACCCAGCTTTCTCTCAGCGGCATTTTAATCCCCTTATTGTTGCATTGCCTCCAGCGGACAGATGGGAAGTTACTTTTCCTACGAAGCCCATTTGCTCGGCCCATGATTAATGCAACGTGTCACCTTTGGTTGTTATGGTGCCGTGGGAAAAAAAATGGGGAGATTATTCCAACCAGAAATGAAATGACATAGAACTATATTGTTAGGACGAGGTGAGGCTTTGGCATAGAGATGAAGGAGCAGAAGGAATGTAGGGAAATATATTTAAGAACGTTTGGGCACACAATTATTCATTTGCAATGATGCAAGCAGAACCTCCTTAAATCCGAAACGATCGGAAGTACCGCACTGACTTGAGTTCCATGTGCCATTCATATCTCATTCAATTTTTTTAGAAGTAGAGTTTAGGCATCCAAAAAGAAAAAGAGGGAAAGCAGATTTGCCCAGTACAACAAATGTAAGCATGGCAAATATAAGAGCCATTTTTATTAGCATCTTGCTCTCTGCAATGCTGGGAATTTTGGGGTTGATATCATTCTGTGACTGAGCTCTTAACTCAGTGTTAGCCACTGCCAGAAGGGACAGAGAGCTTAATCTATGCTGATGATCGTGCCATCACCGCTCAAGCAGGGAGCTTTGAGATGGTTGAACAGAAGCTCTCCGAAGCTCTAGGTGCCCTTACCGCCTATTACAGGGAAAAACAGCCGATCCCTAACCCATCTAAAACACAGACATATGCTTTTCATCTCAAGAACAGACAAGCATCCCGAGCTCTGAGGATCACCTGGGAAGGAATCCCACTGGAGCATTGCAGCACCCAAATACCTGGGAGTCACTCTGGACCGTGCTCTGACCTACAAGAAGCACTGCCTGAACATCAAGCAAAAAGTGGGTGCTAGAAACAACATAATACGAAAGCTGACTGGCACAACCTGGGGATCACAACCAGACACAGTGAAGACATCTGCCCTTGCGCTATGCTACTCTGCTGCTGAGTATGCATGCCAGTGTGGAACACATCTCACCACACTAAAACAGTGGATGTGGCTCTTAATGAGACATGCCGCATTATCACGGGGTGTCTGCGCCCTACACCACTGGAGAAATTACACTGTTTAGCCGGTATTGCACCACCTGACATCCCCCAGGAAGCACAACCAATACTGAAAGGACCAAGGCAGTGACATCTCTGGTCCACTCCCTGTTTGGGTATCAGCCAGCACCTCAATGACTTAAATCAAGAAATAGTTTTCTAAGATCTACAGAGACACTCGCTGGAACACCTCAGCAAACGAGAGTCCAAAAGTGGCAGGCTCAAACCCAGAACCTCAACTGATACCAAATGAGAGACTCCCCCCTAGGCACACAGAAAACTGGGCGACTTGGAAGGCGCTGAACAGACTGCACTCTGGCACCATGAGATGCAGAGCCAACCTTCAGAAATGGGGCCACAAAGTGGAATCCACGACATGCGAGTGTGGAGAGGAGCAAACCACTGACCACCTGCTGCAATGCAACCTGAGCCCTGCTACATGCACAATGGAGGACGTCCTTGCGGCAACACCAGAAGCACTCCAAGTGGCCAGATACTGGCCAAAGGACATTTAATCAACTACCAAGCTTGCAAACTCTGTGTATTTTGTATGTTTGTTTGTTTGTTCTGTCAAAAATGTAATACAACTGTTCAGTTGCCTGACACGATAAATAAATAAATAAATAAATAAATAACTCAGTGTTTTTCAATCTTCCTAATGCCGCAACCCCTTAATACAGTTCCTCATGTTGTGGTGACCCCCAATCATATCATTATTTCGTTGCTACTTCATAACTGTAATGTTGCTCATGTTATGAATCGTAAGGTAAATATCTGATTTGCAGAATATATTTCCATTCACTGGACCAAATTTGGCACAAATATACAATACACCCAAAATTTGAATAGTGGTGAGGTTGGGGGGATTGATTTTGTCACTTGAGAGTTGTAGTTGCTGGGATTTATAGTTCACCTACAATCAAAGAGCATTCCGGACTCCACCAATGATGGAACTGAACCAAACTTGGCACATAGTTTGGTTCAATTCCATCATGACCATGACCAACAGAAAATACTGGAAGGTGTATTGTCGAAGGCTTTCATGGCCGGAATCACTGGGTTGTTGTAGGTTTTTTTTTGGGCTATATGGCCATGGTCTAGAGGCATTCTCTCCTGATGTTTCGCCTGCATCTATGGCAAGCATCCTCAGAGGTAGTGAGGTCTGTTGGAACTAGGAAAATGGGTTTATATATCTGTGGAATGACAGGGAGATGCGTTCGGACAGGTAAAATGCCACTCATATGGCAAAGCAAAACCCAGGCTGAGTAACGGTGCTTAACTCAAAATACTGTTCATACGTCAAAGCAAGCAAAGCAAAGTTTATTGATTAGTCCATTGACCGTATCAACATTAAAAACAAAAACAGAAACGTGCACAAATAGACAATAATCACTATCCTAAGACTCCCATAATAGTGAACTAACATACATTCAAACTTGATTAGGTTAAAAAATAATTAAAAAGATCATCATTAAAATGCCAAGGTAAAATTTCATACCACAAAAATTAAAAACGAAGGTTAAAACGAAGGTTAAAATAGACCAGCTATTACACAATCCCAAGCCACTTCAGATATCTGCGTCACCCCTACAGTTTACCCCCATGATGGCGAACCTATGATACGTGTGTCAGCACTGACACGTGTAGCCATTTTCGATGACACACAGCCGCATGCGGCCGCATACAGAGAAGATGGGGGCGCATCCCAAGAAGGACATTTCATCCTCGGCTCCTTCACCAGCATTTTTCTATAATGCCAATATATATGGCATTATAGAAAAAGCAGGTAAGTTAAATAATTAGTTTTTGGTTTATTAAATACAGTTATATATTACAATAATATATTTTTGTTATTAAACTATAAATATCATGACATTATGGGGTTTTTCTCAAAGTGACACCCCACTCGAGTTATGCTCGGTTTTTTGGCGAATATTGACACACCAAGCTCAAAAGGTTGCCCATCACTGGTTTACCCCAATCTCCTCCAGATACGCAGTTCTCAGCTGCGTTGCTTTATGAAGGAAAAGGGCTGTATCTTAGCATTCTGGCCACTCATACGTCAAAGCAACCCAAGGCTGAGTGAAGGCTCTTGTCTCAAAACATTGCTCATATGTCAAAGCAAAACTCAGACAAAGCAAAGACCCCCAACTGAAAAGCTGCTCGTATGTCAAAGCAAAACTAAGATCAATCAAAGCATCTTTACTCAAAACACTACTCATATGTCAAAGCAAAACTCAGGCCGAGCAAAGGCCCTCAAAGCAAAATTCTGCTTGTATGTCAAATCAAAACACAGGCAAAGAGAAGGCTCTTGACTCAAAACACTACTCGTATGTCAAGGCAAAACTCGGGCTGAGAGAAGGCTCGTGACTAAAAACGCTGCTCATATGTTAAACCGAAACCAGGGCCAAGGGACGGAACTGAGCTCAAAGCACTCTTAATTTGGGACACTCTTCAGTCAAGGTTCCACTGTACTTATTTAGAGATAAGCTCCCTTACTTACCTCAAGCTCCGGGAGCGTGGTCGGAAGCAAGGGGAGCGGCGCCCGTCCTCCCCACCGGCGACGCTCTCGGTGCTGCGGAAATGCTTGGAGAGGAAGTGGAGCTCATCCAGCGTGGGCTGGTAGGGGAGCTGGTGCAGGCGCTCTTGTGAAGACGAGGAGGATGACTGCAGCAGGAGGTGAGAAAACGGAGGGGCGAAGAGTGAGTATCCGGTCCCCCATAGAGCTCTCCAGAACCCAGCCAGGATGTCAGAATCTTGGTGGAGGATGAGGATGATGGGGAAGAGCAGCCAAATCAGGGGCCAATGTAGGACAGCCACCTGAGTAGACTGACACTTTGGAGCTCACTGATTTTAGTATTTCTAATATCTTAGTTTTTATCTTGCCCACTCATTGTTATGTTATGTTATTTTATTTTATTGTGTATGATTTTGCTTTATCGTTTTTTGTACAGTATTTTACTGTGTTGTTATTGTGTATTGGTTTTACTTTATTGTAACATGTTGGGCTTGGCCTCATGTAAGCCACCCTGAATCCCCATTGGGGAGATGGTGGCGGGGTATTAAATAAAGATGTTTATTAGCCGCTGTTTAGTCGCTGTAACGGTCTGGATGAGGGCGAACAAATTGAAATTGAATCCAGACAAGACAGAGGTACTCCTGATCAGTCGTAAGGCCGAACAGGGCATAGGGTTACAGCCTGTGTTGGATGGGGTTACACTCCCCCTGAAGACGCAGGTTCGCAGCTTGGGAGTGATCTTGGACTCGTCACTGAGCCTGGAACCCCAGATTTCAGCGGTGACCAGGGGAGCATTCGCACAGTTAAAACTTGTGCGCCAGCTGCGCCCGTACCTTGGGAAGTCTGACTTGGCCACGGTAGTCCACGCTCTGGTTACATCCCCTATAGACTACTGCAACGCTCTCTACGTGGGGTTGCCTTTGAAGACTGCTCGGAAGCTTCAAATGGTCCAGCGTTCGGCAGCCAGGTTGCTAACAGGAGCATACTACTCCTTTGTTGCACCAGCTCCACTGGCTGCCAGTTTGCTACCGGGCACAATTCAAAGTGCTGGCGTTAGCCTATAAAGCCCTAAACGGTTCTGGCCCTACTTACCTCTCCGAACGCATCTCCTCCTATGAACCGACTAGGACACTAAGATCATCTGGGGAGGCCCTGCTCTCTGTCCCGCCTGCATCACAGGTGCGCTTGGCGGGACGAGAGACAGGGCCTTCTCAGTGGTGGCCCCTCGGCTGTGGAACGCCCTGCCTGCAGATATCAGATCGGCCCCCTCCCTGCTGGCGTTTCGGAGGAAAGTGAAGGCCTGGCTGTTCGAACAAGCATTTGATTAAACAGTGTAATTGAACATAGGAATACGGAATAATGGATGACGAGACTGGATTCTGATTTTACTGTTGAGGCGCTAATGATTGTTATACTGATGTTAATGATTTATGTTACAATTGTTTTTAATTGCCCTATACTTGTCTCGTGATGTTTTGTATCGATGTTGTTCACCGCTTTGAGTCGCCTGAGGGCTGAGAAAAGCGGTATATAAATAAAGTAAATTAATAATAATAATAATAATAATAATTATTATTATTATTATTATTATTATTATTATTATTATAAGGTTCAGTGCCATTCAGCTAAGAAGGTCCAATCGGCTGGCTCAGAAGAAGGCCTCACAACTCTAAGGACTTTGATGGGCAGCTGCAGTAGCTCTTTGCTGGGAGCAACGTCTTGGATGGAGCTACAGGTGGTACCTTTGTTGGTAGACTTCCTGTTTGAACTTTTGACTATATGTTTGGATCTTGACTTGGGACTATTCTTAGACATGGGTGAGCTTGTCTGTTATTGACCCTTTGAACTTGAGCTTTATTATTTTTTGTTGCTGTTGTTGCAGAAAGAGTTTTTAATCAAGATCAAATATAAATCGTTGGTAAGATTGCTTCCCCTCCCTCCCAAAATCTACACATATAAGTATACATAAAACACATATACTTCTGAACAGTTACTACAAGAATTGTTCCACATTACACTATGCCGCCCCTTCCAACCCTTATGTTGCAGTGACTTCTCATCCTTTGAGTTGAGCAACATTCATATATAACCTTGTCCTTCCTTCCCAGTAAAGAATTCACTCATTCTTCCCTCTAGCACAATGTTTCTCAACCTTCCTAATGCCATTACCCCTTAATACAGTTCCTCATGTTGTGGTGACCCCCAACCTTAAAATTATTTTTGTTGCTACTTCAAAACTGTAATTTTGCTACTGTTATGGCTCGTTGTGTAAATATCTGATATGCAGAATGTGTTTTCATTTACTGGACCAAATGTGGCACAAATACCTGGTGAGGTTGCGGGGAGGGGATGTATTGATTTTGTCATTTGAGAGTTGTAGTTGCTGGGATTTATAGTTCACCTACAATCAAAGAGCATTCTGAACTCCACCAATGATGGAATTGAACTAAACGTGGAACACACAACTCCCATGACCAACAGAAAATACGAGAAGGGTTTGGTGGGCATTGACCTCGAGTTTTGGAATTGTAGTTCACCTAAATCCAGAGAGCACTGTGGACTCAAATAATGATGGATCTGAACCAAACTTGGCACAGATCCTCAATATTTCAAAATGTGAACACTGGTGAAATTTGGGAGAAATAAAGCTTGACATTTGGGAGTTGTAGTTGATGGGATTTATAGTTCACCTACAATCAAAGAGCACTCTGAACTCCACCAATGATGGAATTGAACTAAACTTGGCACACAGAACTCCCATGACTAACAGAAATTATGAGAAGGGTTTGGTGGGCATTGACCTTGAGTTTTGGAGTTTTAGTTCACCTAAATCCAGAGAGCACTGTGGACTCAAATAATGATGGATCTGGACCAAACTTGACACAGATCCTCAATATTTCCAAATGTGAACACTGGTGGAATTTGGGAGAAATAGAGCTTGACATTTGGGAGTTGTAGTTGCTGGGATTTATAGTTCACCTACCATCAAAGAGGATTCTGAACCCCACCAACGATAGAATTGGGCCAAACTGTCTACACAGAACCCCCATGACCAACAGAAAATCCTGTGTTTTCTGATGGTCTTTGGCAGCCCCTCTGACACCCCTTCGCGACCCCTCCAGGGGTCCTGACCCCCAGGTTGAGAATCGCTGCTCTAGCACAAGAATCATCCTATAAAAATTACAAACAAAAGTTCTAACAAAGACCAAATTATGGAGCCTATTCTAAAACGTTTTTCACTTTTCCCCACAAAATAAAAAGATATCCCATTCCTTAACAAAGTTCTTCTCTATTTCCTCCCTATTCATCCTCCCTATTCACATCCCTCATTACAAAAATGTTAAATATGCATTTTCTTTTTGTTGTTATTGGCCCTGCTTGACCCTCTGTCTGGACTACCTGATGTGTAACATCCTGGACTGTTTCTGATTACGAGCTAAGAGAGCATGCTGGTGAGTTTGGACAGAAACCTCCTTCCACAGCAGAATAAATAGTTGGTGGCTGCAGCAGCTCTTTGCTGGGAGCAACGTCTTAGACCAGTGGTTCTCAACCTTCCTAATGCCACAACCCCTTAATACAGTGCCTCACGTTGTGGTGACACCCAACCATAAAATTATTATTATTGCTACTTCCTGATTGTAATTGTGTTACTGTTATGAATAATAATGTAAATATCTGAAATGCAGGATGTATTTTCATTCACTGGACCATGCCGTGAGCACAGCCTTCCACCTCGCACCCCGCCCCCTTCCGAACTCTGAAAGGCGCTGGGGGTGGGCAGAAAGGCTGCGCTCATGGCAAAGCCGTGAGCGCAGCCTTCCACCTCGCACCCCGCGCCCTTCTGAACTCGGAAAGGCTCAGGGGGTGGGAAGAAAGGCTGCGCTCATGGCAAGGCCATGAGGGCAGCCTTCCGCCTCCCCCCCCACACCCTTCCACACTCAGAAAGGCGCGGGGGGCAGGCAGCCCTCCTTTGCCCAAATGGCAAGGGTTGGCAGCCATTTTGGCGGGGGCGGGGCTAACCAAGGCAGCTTCGTGACCCCCCAAAATGGCCCAACAACCCCCCCGGGGGTTGCGACCCCCAGGGTGAGAACCACTGTCTTAGACAAAGCCTTTGTTGGTGGACTTCGTTTTTGGACTTTTGACTATGTGTTTGGATCTTGACTTCGACTATTCTTGGAGATTGGTGAGCTTCTCTGTTATTGACCCTTTGAAATGGACTCCTGATTATCCTCTTGCTTGACCCTCTGTCTGGACTACCTGTGTATAATCCTGTTGTGTATAATCCTGGACTGTTTCTGATTGCAAGCTTGGAGAGTGTGTCGGTGGGTTAGGACGCAGGAATAGCAACCAGGCCCCTAAAGAGGTCCCCTCCCCTATTACTCACCGAAACGGTAGAGCTGGGGGTGTTAGTCCCATAGCCGGAGGAGGGCAACGAAGCCAGCGACCAGCGGCGGCCATCGGACCTGCAAAGGGGAAAAGCTCAGTGTTGGTGGAAATGGAAGGACATGGCCTATGTGATGAGTGGATTGAATGAAAATGTACAATTGGGGTCTGGCTAAGGGCTTAGTAAGGTCTGATAAGGCTGAAGACAGCATCCTAAAACTGCAACCTGAAAATGGCATTACAGAGAAACAAAAGAGTAAAGAACTGGATTCATTTTGGTATGAAAAGTGCTAATGAAGAAAAACTGCTGAACTAATGAGAACTGACCTGAGAATTTCTGGTGTAAACAACACATGTTTACATAGTCAGAGACAAGGACACTTTAAGTTGCAGAGGTTAAAAAACATCTGTTGAGCAATTGATGAGGCTCCAGCAAGTTTGAGCTGAATGACAGGTTATCTAAACAACCAAGTACTACTACTACTACTACTACTACAAAGTGCTACATAGGAAGACCCTTTTACTATTCCAAAGTGTGCCAGATCTGTGAGGAATGTGGAATCTGAACACCTGCTTCCTTCCAAGGAGTCTGAATGAAGGAGGGTGGTGAGTATGAATGAGCGAATGAATGGATTACAAGTGAATGTTAGAGTAGATGTGATGATGGATTCAATGAATGATGGTGGGTATGAAGGAATGAATGACTGCATTATGAGTGAATGTGAGAGTATATGTGATGATGGGCTGTAAGAAGAAAGATGGTGAGTATGAATGAGTGAATGAATGGATTATGAGTGAATGTTAAGAGTATATGTGATGATGAACTGAATGAAGAAGGACAGTGAGTGTGAATGAGTGAATGAATGGATTACGAGTGAATGTTAGAGTAAATGTGATGATGAGCTGAATGAAGAAGGATGGTGAGTATGAATGAGTGAATGAATGGATTAAGAGTGAATGTTAGAGTATATGTGATGATGAACTGAATGACGAAGGATGGTGAGTATGAATGAGTGAATGAATGGATTACGAGTGAATGTTAGAGTAAATGTGATGATGAACTGAATGATGAAGGAAAAAGGTGAGTATGAATGAGTGAATGAATAGATTACGAGTGGATGTTAGAGTATATGTGATGATGAACTGAATGACGAAGGATGGTGAGTATGAATGAGTGAATGAATGGATTACGAGTGAATGTTAGAGTAAATGTGATGATGAACTGAATGATGAAGGAAAAAGGTGAGTATGAATGAGTGAATGAATAGATTACGAGTGGATGTTAGAGTATATGTGATGATGAACTGAATGACGAAGGATGGTGAGTATGAATGAGTGAATGAATGGATTACGAGTGAATGTTAGAGTAAATGTGATGATGAACTGAATGATGAAGGAAAATGGTGAGTATGAATGAGTGAATGAATAGATTAAGAGTGAATGTTAGAGTATATGTGATGATGAACTGAATGACGAAGGATGGTGAGTATGAATGAGTGAATGAATGGATTACGAGTGAATGTTAGAGTAAATGTGATGATGAACTGAATGATGAAGGAAAATGGTGAGTATGAATGAGTGAATGATTAAGAGTGAACGTTAAGAGTATATATGATGATGAACTGAATGACGAAGGATGGTGAGTATGAATGAGTGAATGAATGGATTACGAGTGAATGTTAGAGTAAATGTGATGATGAACTGAATGATGAAGGAAAAAGGTGAGTATGAATGAGTGAATGAATAGATTACGAGTGGATGTTAGAGTATATGTGATGATGAACTGAATGACGAAGGATGGTGAGTATGAATGAGTGAATGAATGGATTACGAGTGAATGTTAGAGTAAATGTGATGATGAACTGAATGATGAAGGAAAATGGTGAGTATGAATGAGTGAATGAATAGATTAAGAGTGAATGTTAGAGTATATGTGATGATGAACTGAATGACGAAGGATGTTGAGTATGAATGAGTGAATGAATGGATTACGAGTGAATGTTAGAGTAAATGTGATGATGAGCTGAATGACGAAGGATGGTGAGTATGAATGAGTGAATGATTAAGAGTGAACGTTAAGAGTTAATATGATGATGAACTGAATGACGAAGGATGGTGAGTATGAATGAGTGAATGAATGGATTACGAGTGAATGTTAAGAGTAAATGTGATGATGAGCTGAATGACGAAGGAAAATGGTGAGTATGAATGAGTGAATGAATAGATTAAGAGTGAATGTTAAGAGTATATGTGATGATGAACTGAATGACGAAGGATGGTGAGTATGAATGAGTGAATGAATGGATTACGAGTGAATGTTAGAGTAAATGTGATGATGAGCTGAATGACGAAGGATGGTGAGTATGAATGAGTGAATGATTAAGAGTGAACGTTAAGAGTATATATGATGATGAACTGAATGACGAAGGATGGTGAGTATGAATGAGTGAATGAATGGATTACGAGTGAATGTTAGAGTAAATGTGATGATGAACTGAATGATGAAGGAAAAAGGTGAGTATGAATGAGTGAATGAATAGATTACGAGTGGATGTTAGAGTATATGTGATGATGAACTGAATGACGAAGGATGGTGAGTATGAATGAGTGAATGAATGGATTACGAGTGAATGTTAGAGTAAATGTGATGATGAACTGAATGATGAAGGAAAATGGTGAGTATGAATGAGTGAATGAATAGATTAAGAGTGAATGTTAGAGTATATGTGATGATGAACTGAATGACGAAGGATGTTGAGTATGAATGAGTGAATGAATGGATTACGAGTGAATGTTAGAGTAAATGTGATGATGAGCTGAATGACGAAGGATGGTGAGTATGAATGAGTGAATGATTAAGAGTGAACGTTAAGAGTTAATATGATGATGAACTGAATGACGAAGGATGGTGAGTATGAATGAGTGAATGAATGGATTACGAGTGAATGTTAAGAGTAAATGTGATGATGAGCTGAATGACGAAGGAAAATGGTGAGTATGAATGAGTGAATGAATAGATTAAGAGTGAATGTTAAGAGTATATGTGATGATGAACTGAATGACGAAGGATGGTGAGTATGAATGAGCGAATGAATGGATTACGAGTGAATGTTAGAGTAAATGTGATGATGAACTGAATGATGAAGGAAAAAGGTGAGTATGAATGAGTGAATGAATAGATTACGAGTGGATGTTAGAGTATATGTGATGATGAACTGAATGACGAAGGATGGTGAGTATGAATGAGTGAATGAATGGATTACGAGTGAATGTTAGAGTAAATGTGATGATGAACTGAATGATGAAGGAAAAAGGTGAGTATGAATGAGTGAATGAATAGATTACGAGTGGATGTTAGAGTATATGTGATGATGAACTGAATGACGAAGGATGGTGAGTATGAATGAGTGAATGAATGGATTACGAGTGAATGTTAGAGTAAATGTGATGATGAACTGAATGATGAAGGAAAATGGTGAGTATGAATGAGTGAATGAATAGATTAAGAGTGAATGTTAGAGTATATGTGATGATGAACTGAATGACGAAGGATGGTGAGTATGAATGAGTGAATGAATGGATTACGAGTGAATGTTAGAGTAAATGTGATGATGAGCTGAATGACGAAGGATGTTGAGTATGAATGAGTGAATGATTAAGAGTGAACGTTAAGAGTATATATGATGATGAACTGAATGACGAAGGATGGTGAGTATGAATGAGTGAATGAATGGATTACGAGTGAATGTTAAGAGTAAATGTGATGATGAGCTGAATGACGAAGGAAAATGGTGAGTATGAATGAGTGAATGAATAGATTAAGAGTGAATGTTAAGAGTATATGTGATGATGAACTGAATGACGAAGGATGGTGAGTATGAATGAGCGAATGAATGGATTACGAGTGAATGTTAGAGTAAATGTGATGATGAACTGAATGATGAAGGAAAAAGGTGAGTATGAATGAGTGAATGAATAGATTACGAGTGGATGTTAGAGTATATGTGATGATGAACTGAATGACGAAGGATGGTGAGTATGAATGAGTGAATGAATGGATTACGAGTGAATGTTAGAGTAAATGTGATGATGAACTGAATGATGAAGGAAAAAGGTGAGTATGAATGAGTGAATGAATAGATTACGAGTGGATGTTAGAGTATATGTGATGATGAACTGAATGACGAAGGATGGTGAGTATGAATGAGTGAATGAATGGATTACGAGTGAATGTTAGAGTAAATGTGATGATGAACTGAATGATGAAGGAAAATGGTGAGTATGAATGAGTGAATGAATAGATTAAGAGTGAATGTTAGAGTATATGTGATGATGAACTGAATGACGAAGGATGGTGAGTATGAATGAGTGAATGAATGGATTACGAGTGAATGTTAGAGTAAATGTGATGATGAGCTGAATGACGAAGGATGGTGAGTATGAATGAGTGAATGATTAAGAGTGAACGTTAAGAGTATATATGATGATGAACTGAATGACGAAGGATGGTGAGTATGAATGAGTGAATGAATGGATTACGAGTGAATGTTAGAGTAAATGTGATGATGAACTGAATGATGAAGGAAAATGGTGAGTATGAATGAGTGAATGATTAAGAGTGAACGTTAAGAGTATATATGATGATGAACTGAATGACGAAGGATGGTGAGTATGAACGAGTGAATGAATGGATTACGAGTGAATGTTATGAGTATATGTGATGGTGAACTGAATGAGGAAGAACGGTGAGTATGAACGAGTGAATGGATGGATTCCGAGTGAATGTTAAGAGTATATATGATGATGAACTGAATGACGAAGGATGGTGAGTATGAATGAGTGAATGAATGGATTAAGAGTGAATGTTAGAGTAAATGTGATGATGAGCTGAATGAAGAAGGATGGTGAGTATGAATGAGTGAAAGAATGGATTAAGAGTGAATGTTAAGAGTATATGTGATGATGAACTGAATGACGAAGGATGGTGAGTATGAATGAGTGAATGATTAAGAGTGAACGTTAAGAGTATATATGATGATGAACTGAATGACGAAGGATGGTGAGTATGAATGAGTGAATG